GACATGTCAAATTTCTACTAGTTTGGAAAAGAAAAATTTATGAGAGGACATTAGAGACGCGCTAATGGTTTTCCCACCTGACACATTGCTTCTACATTCATGTCAAAAATATTAAGTATACAAAAAACTATAATTACAAATCGATAAAATTTTTATATTAGGATTATTATGCTTTTTTTATTTCTATATTTTTATCAATATTTGTTAATTTTATTTATTCCAATCGTACACATAATTAAATAAGCAAATTAAATATTTATACACTCAATAAATATTCTAATAACAAAATAAATAATATCCGGTTTATTTTTGTAAATATGAAAAATAAATCAATATAGAATAGTATTTATTGATAATGAAATAGAAAAATAGAGCAAAAATTCAAATAGTAAAAAAATAAAAAAAGTTAAAAAGAATAATAAAAAACTAGTTAAAAAAAATAAATAAAAGGAGTAATAAAAAAATGATATAAAAAGAAATAATAAATTGTGAAATAAACCACACAAAGTGTAAAATAAAAATAAAAATAAATATAAAACAGGAAAAATTAATACAAAGAGGATGGAAATAATATATTAATTTAAAAATAATAAAAAAAAGTGAATAAAAATAATAAAAAAAGTGCAAAAACTGAAAAATAATCGTCTTACAATAATATTTTTAATAAAGAAAAAAAAGTGTAAGTAAGGAATAAAATTTTTTAAAATAAAATTCCTCGGTAGTTTTAGAAAGGGTATTTTATTTCAAAACCTCATTCATGGCCGGGAGTCAGGTTTAAATAAAATCCTTTTACACGCTTATTAATTTCACAACTTGACGTTCAACGCCCTTCCTTTTATAAAAGATTTTATTATATATTGAAGCCCATTAAATTATAAATGAACAGTGAATATAATTATAGTCAATTAAATAATTCACACCTACTTCAAAGAGCAAACGACATGCAAAAAAAAAAAAAAATTTATTTAAACACTTCTTTTTACAGAAAATTAAAAAAACTTTATTAATTCGATAAATTCTCTATATACAATACCCTGAAAAAAATATATTTGATCTAAATAACCGATTTGTCTATTATCAAATAGATATTTACTTGAATTAAATAATTTTTATTTAAATCATATTGTATTTGAAATAAACTGAAAATTAATAATTTCAGTATTTGAAGCAAAAATTCAATTCATTAAATTAAAAATCGTTTGATTTAAGGTAAATATTTATTTGATAATAGACAAGTAATCGGTTTTTTTTTATTTGTATTTTATTATTTTTATTTTATTTTATTTCTAAATTTTAATTTTTTTCTATATAATTTTTCTAGACAAAATATCAAGCCCGTTTGGATATAAATAAATAAGTGAAAAAATAGATAAAAATAATAATAAATAAAGATTAAAAATAAACAAATACTAAAAATAACTTTTAAAAAATACAAATAACATTTATTTTAGATTTTTTTTTTTTTTTAAATAGAGACATTTTTTTCAATAGTGGTAATTGACTGATAAGAAGTGATAATATTTTACAATTACGATAAGGCATTCGGTTTGTATACACGGAACGTTAAAGAGGATCAGAAATTCGTGAAACTCTGTCAAGCGCACAACTATAAATGTTCGTGTGCTATCTTTATATATTCAGGAAAAGAAATATAAATGTCTTTTAAATATTTTCACTTTAAAAAAATTGAAATATGTTATCTTATTATTTTTCTAATATCCGTTACAATAGTTTTTCTTAGTTTAAACATTATTCTCGGTTCATTGTATACAAGTTCAGTGATAAATAAATAATTAAATAGAAATAATTTTATTTTATTATTAATTTTATGATTTACTAACTAATTATTTTTTTCTTTTCTTTTTTCACAATGTAAACAATGATAACAAAATTATTATTAGTCGATATCAGTTATAAAGAAAACAACAGGAAAATAAGTGTATGTATTATATAAAGTGTAAAAAAAAAGTGAATTTTCTATTCGGTAATAAAATGTGAAAAATTGTTTACAGTTTTTGAATTTTTACTGATACTAATTGTTTAAACCGTTGGAGGATACATTTTACCCGAGGCCTTTACTGTTATGTTGTAGTAATTACCATTTAATCATATTATAAATTATAGCATTTTATATACTTATTAGCATTATTATTGTTACTAAATTTATTTTTTTAAAGTATTTTTTATTTTTATTTTATTAGTTTTATTACTATTATTTTTATTCCCAAAATTTCGAAAGTCATGACAGTTTAATTGAACGTCAATATTTTTATCCTTCTTTTAACTTGTTTTTTGTAAAGAAAATAATTTTCGTATATTAAAAAAATTAATTCTTTCATATGAAAATGCTTAATTTTAATTATTTTTTTCTTTCGTGCAGTAATTATTATTAAAAACATTTAAACAGAACAAAAATTCGATTCATTTATGTCCGCAAAGTTTTAGAAAAATTTCCCATTATAATTATTTTTTATTGGTATTATTCTTACTATTTTTATTACAATTTTTTATTTTTTATTTATACTTTAATTTTTTACAGTTAATATAATTATTTATTAAATTAATGTATTATTTATTTTATTTAATATTTATTTATTATTTATTTATTTATTATTTGTTTGCTTACATGAATAAACAGGTTTACAAAGTGAAAAAAGTCATTTTCAACGAAAAGAAATGAACGATAATTACTCTAATATTATTTTTATTTTAATATTAAATTTTTTTTCACTAATTATACGCATTTATGCAGAGAGTGAGATGAAAATATATAGTTCATTGATCATCTCAGTTTTTCACCGTTTTAATGATATCTAAGATTAAATTGACCCACATAAGATCCGATTACAGAAAATTACTCCGTTTCACAAAATTGCTTGTCACTAATAATGCTAATTCTCCATTTGCAATATTCTAAACTTGTTAATGTTTTATTAAATATTTTTCGCATTTTTTTAATTTTTATATTCATAGTAACTATAAAAACACGAATTGTTCCACATTTTTGATATATTTTCTTACTTTTTATGCAAATAAAAAAAATAAATATTCAATTAATTTCAAAAATTTTCCTCATTTCAATAATCTCTTTAAACAATTCAATTATTTTTTTAAATAGTAAAATCTTTACAAAAATTCAATGATTTTCAAAACAATTTTAATTGAATTCCTCGGGAAAATTCAATTTTTTAAAAAAAATTTAGCACATTTCGAAAAAATTCAATTTTTTTCTAAAATTATAATAAATCTTTCGAAAAAATTCAATTATTTTTATAAATAGTAAAATTCTTCACAAGAATTCAATTAATTAATTAACTTCAAAAATTTCCAAAAAATTCAATTTCAACAAGAGTTTAAAATTCTCTAAATATAATTCAATTATTCTCAAAATATTTTTAAAAAATTCTATATAAAAATTAAATTACTTTCAATGCAATTTTTAAATATATTCATTAAAAAAATTGAAGGAATTTAATTATTTTCAAAAAATAATAAAATTCTTGTGATGAATTCAATTATTTTGAATATACTTAATTTTAATAAAATTCTCTAAAGAAATTCAATTATTTTCGAAATAACTTTAATTGAATTTCTCGAAAAAATTTCATTATTTTTAAATATTTCTATAAAATTTTATTCTTCATAACAATTTAATTATTTTTTAAAATTTTAATAAATTCTTCGAAACATTTCAATTATTTTTATAAATAGTAAAATGTTTCCCAATAATTTTAAATTATTTATTTATTTATTTATTTTTTTTTATTTATTTTATTTTTATTTTTTTTTAATTTTTAATTTTTTAAAAAAATTTTTTTTTTTAATTTAATTTAATTTTTTTTTTATTTTTTTTTCCTCGAAAGAATTTAAATTTTCAAATATTACCATAAAATTCATTTATTTTCTAAAATTTTAATAAATTCTTCGGAACAATTCAATTATTTTTATAAATAGTAAAATTCGTCGCAAGAATTTAATTATTTTCAATACAATTTTAATAAAATTCTTCTTCATAAAATTCAATTGCTTTCAAAATTTTCAATTAAAATTATCAAAGAAAGTCCATTAGTCAAAAAAAATTAAAAGAAATTCTTCAAAAGAATTTAATTGAGATTTTTAAAAACTTTAATAAAACTCTTCACGAGGATTCAGTTATTTTTCTAAATAATAAAATTTTTTGAAGAAATTCTATTATTATCAAATTTTTTTGATAAAATTCTTTGCAACAATTCGATGATTTTCAATACATTAATTTTAAAATTGAAAATATTTGAAAAGAAATATTATAAAAAAGTTAAGAAACAAAAAAGCAAACAACAACTATAACTTGAAAGTGCGAACATATTACCGGAACATGTACTTTATTATTATTAATTAATGTTATAATTATTTTTATTTTATAATTAATTCAAAATTGTAATGACAAATAGAAATCATCAGAATTTCTTTCACTTCTTTTCATTAAAAGACTAAAATTTTGTTAAATTTTATGATTTATCAAATTGAAATTATGCAGATTTTTGTTCTTTACTTCGAAACAAAATTAGAAAATTGTTATTAAATTGAAAATCATTGAAATTAGAAAAATGCATTTTATTTTTGAAAATAATTGAAATTAGGACAAGATATTTTTTGACATTTATTAAAATAATTGAACTTTGAAGAAGAATTTTATTTATTTTTTTTTTTTTTGAAAATAATTGAATTTCTGCAATTAGTTGTAATTGCTCCAAAATTGAATTTTCGACTATTGAAATTCCATTTGATTGATATAATGATTGAATAAATAAATAAATTTTATTCCACTTTTCATTTCATTTATTTAATTCCTATTTTTTAGTAGAGAGAATAAAAAAAAAATTTCTTGAGATTTCGCATTCGAAGATTCTCTTTTCAAAGAAATAAAAAAAAGACAAAAAAAAAAAAAGAATCGAAACGAATTGAATGCTTGATGAAGAAATGAGAGTTGAAATTCAAAGGAATGTGCCTGTCAACTGTTGTCTAGATCTGATTCCTCCTTCGCCCTTTGAGAGTACTTACATATAGACGTGTTCGTAATACATAATACAGTGTAGGTGAAAAGACCGGGACTGTGAGTGCGATGTCCCGTTAGGGGACCTAGAAGACCCACAAAGCTGACGGTCATCCACTCAGCACTCTCAGTACTTCAAAACAGATTCTCGTGTCGCGTAACTCGTGCATGGATATCGCTGCCTATGACGCTCTTTCGCTACCGTTCTTCAACAACATCATTTTACTACCGATTTCGCTGGGTAAAAATAAAGATACGAAAAAGAAAAATTTATCCGAACCGTGCGCGCTTTCATTTTACCGGCAAAAAAAACGAAAGGAAAGGGGAAATTTCGAAAATTACCCTTTTCAATTAAATTCTAATCAGTTTTTTAGTATTTTCTGTTTTCTTAATTTATTTTTAGTATTTTATTGTTTTATTATTTTATTTTTCTTATTTTATTGTTTTCTTATTTTATTTTTAGTATTCTATTGTTTTATTATTTTAATTTTATTATGTTATTGTGTTTTTTATATTATTGTATTTTTTTTAAAATTATTTTCGCCAGTTTCTTTAAGCGAATTTAATTATTTATTTACATTTATTTTCTGAATATTTTTGGGGGAATTAAAATTTTTTTGCAGGGAAAATTTAATTTTAAATTCAAATTTTGTTTTAGAAATAGATTTTTCCAGTTTCTTTAAGCGAATTTTATTATTTATTTACATTTCTTTTCTGAATATTTTTGGGGATATTTAAATTTTTTTGAAGGGAAAATTTAATTTTAAATTCAAATTTTATTTTTTAATTTATATAAATATTTTTCTTACTCTATTCTTTACCGCATTTTTTGCGAATTTATTTTTTTTTTTATTTTAAATTCATTAAAACTTAATATTTAATGAATATTAATAATATTTTATAAATTTAATGTTTTAAATATTTAAAATTTACACTCTCTGTCTTTTTCTACGCGAAATTAATTTTTAGCTACAGTCTTTAACTTTCAAACCCATTTTGCGAATATAATAATCATAATTTTTTTTTTAAACGTCAGTTATTAAAAATTGTCTTTTTAGATTTAATTTTAATCATATTTAAAATTTTTAAAAATATTTTTAAAAATATTTTTTAAAAAAATTATTGAAATAAACAAGTTTACCAAAAAAAATTCCTCTTTGCCATGGTAAAGAGGAATTTTTTTTTTGGTAAATTTTTTCAAGAAAACTCTTGATTTGCGGATAGATTTTTTTAGTTAAATTTCTTTTCCCTTTTTTAAAAGTAGAATTTGCTAATTTTCATTTTATTGCAATGTTGTATATTATAAAGTTGTATTTATTCCTTTTTAATAGAGATGCAAAAACAAGGTGTAGAACTACGCGTGTTCGACATGAATCGCATTCAGTTATTACACTTCGCCTGAGGCCTGATGTGAGTAAAACGTGTGTTTACACATATATACCTATATATATTCGTGATACAGAAAAGTGATTTTCATTCAAGTTTTGCATTCACTTTGAAATTTTATTGATATCTTCATAGAGCACGCGATGATGAGTATTTTTTTTAAAATCAATCATTTGCTTATTTCCGTCCAATTTTTATGTGAATTAAGTACTTAATCATTTAATTTTACATTTTTAAACTAAATTTTCTCCATTTTCTCCATTTTTATTATTTTATTTTCGTTATTTTTTACTGTCCATTGTTTTTTTTATTATATTTAATTATTTTCTTTCATTATCAAAAATCTGAAATAAAATTGTGATTTGAAAAATTCAAAAATATTTAATTATAATTTTAATTGTTCTTGTTTCATTATCGACCTGTTGCTAATTATACTAATATCTTTAATTACTGTTTCATTCAAACATTATTAATTAAATAGTAATTATTTTCTATCAATTAATATTATGATTTCAATATAAACGAATTTAATTTAAATTAAAGACAGAAAGAAATTTAATTATTAATAAAATTTTTAATTACATTTATTTATAAATATTTATAACATTTATAAATATTTATAAATAAAATATAAACTTTGTATTTTATAAAAGTTATATAGTTTTTTAAATTTTAATTAAAAATATTTTTCCCAAAAAAACGATCGATTTCTAATTATTTAATATCTATTTTAATTATTATAGACAGATACATTTTTTTTATATTTTATTTAAACATATTTATTTATGGAATTTAATGAAAATTTATTTTTTTTAGAAAAAATCGGTAGCATTGCCTCCTTGGAAACCCCATAAAAATTTGACATGGGTCGCACGGGGTACACATGCATCAGACACGTTTTCTGTTCACTTAACGTTTTGATATGGGTAAGTAAAATATTTTTTATGCCCCACGGTCACATTAAAAATTAATTTACTTAAAAAGAAAAGCCACCCTTCGAGAATTTTTTTTTCAAATTTAATTTGACATTTTATGATTAATCCCCTAATGTTATTTATTTTCAATTTTGCTTCCTCAATTTTTTTCTAATTAGCGATAAAAATTTTTTTTAATTCTTATCGACTATAAAAATACAAAATAACAATAATATTAGGAATAATAAATAAAACTAATAAACAGTAAAAATAATAGTAATAATAAAATAATAATAAAATAATAATAAAATAATAGTAAAAAGTAATAAAAGAAATTATTGAATAAATCTTTATCTTCGGAGTTGATTTTATAACAGAAAAAATTATTTATCGTCGAATATATTTTTAGTCAAATTAAAATAAAGAATAGTAGAAGCAGTAACAATAATAAAAATAATAATAAAAATACTATAATAATAATAGTAATAATATTAATATGAGTAATTCTCCAACAATATTATTTTTTAATTTAAAAAAAAATTGTGAAATAAAATGGTTTAAAAATAGTTTAATTTCTCCATTCGGGAACGCCAAGGTCATCACTAGGTGGCGTGGAATCTGGTTTTGTCAATCTAACTGCCATCTAGCGGTGACCTTGGCGTTCGCAGGTGGAGAATAGCGTCTCCATATTAAATCTCAAAATATTCTTCGAAAAATTCGTAATTCTTTAATTATTTATAATCAGACATTGTGAATAATTAAATTTATACGTTTTATTTATTCGATACTTAATTATCAATACTCAATACTAATTAATTAATAATAAAAATAAATTTTTTTCTTCTTATCTACACTGGAGATATATAATTTTATTTTTTTCTTGGAAAATTGTAATTAAATGTAATTACGAATGTAAAAAATTAAAAATTTCAGGAGAAATTAGAAAGTATTAAGTAGAATTTCCTCGAAAAAAAATATTATTTATGGAACATGTTTTGTACTAAAACAATACATATTTATTGTTTAATATACCATCTCCCACGCTTAATTTCCTTATTATTTCAAATTTTATATACCTTAGTTGGAAAATAAGACGCGAATTAGATAATTTATATCCACTATAATAATAAGAAAACGCCTTCTCAATATGGCAAATGAACAATCAAGATTGTCAACACAGTTGCAGATTCCATTGCAATTTCTACACGCTTAAATAGTCATACCACTTGAAATCGTCTTCCGTTCTGAATAAAAGGCCTTTAAATCGGGCATTGAACCATGTTCTATGATCCATATGATTGTACCCAACATGCAAACATTAAATTTTTTTTATCAACTGTAAAATTTACTATTTATTTTCTATTTATTCATAGAGAGAACTTCAATTTTTTTTCTATTTTTTCATAGAGAGAAATACAGTTTTTTCCCCAGTTTTTTTTCCAGTTTTTTCATAGGGAAAAATTCAGTTATTTTCTATTTATTTATAGAGAAAAATGTAATTTTTTCGGGAGGGAAAAAATCCACTCTACTCTCTGTAATAATTGTTGTAAATTTTACTATACTAGTGTGTATTTTTTTTAAGTTTTTTTAAAGTTTTTTTTTCAAAATATTTCTTCTTTTGTTTTCTTTTACTAAAAATAAATATCTTAATTCTAAAATTAAGTGACACAGTTCTAATATTTTTTCACATGTATACTTATTCATCATCGTGATTATCTTTTAAGTATCTCGCGCATAAAGTGTCGGGACATTCATCACTCTTGTGGTTTTGAAAGTGTAAAAAAAGTTTCTTAACTTGGAAGCGTAATGATCATGAGATTAATCTTATTAATTGCATCTTTATATGCTTAAAGAGATGAAAAAAATACTCCCGTTTCAAGTATATATAAAATGACAAATTACGTGAATTTTATTTTCTAAATATGTAATATTGTCTACATTTTTTTCACAGAAAAAAAAAATTAGCCCAAACTTTCTATTTGTTAGCAGATTTTTTTATTTTTAAATTTTCCATTTTTTTAATTTCAAATTCTTTGTGCCTTGAATTTTCTTTTTTTAAACAAAATATTATTTTAAAATGAAATTAAAATAAATGAATAACAAATAAATAAATTCTTAATATAATAAGTAAATAAATAAATAAATAAATATAATAATAAATAAATGAAAATAAAAAGAAAACGGAGAAAATACCAATAAATAAATTATTTAAATATTTATGTAAATAAAAAATAAAAACCAAAATACAACAAAATACAGAAAAAGCGAAAACAAAAAAATTTTTTCAAGGAAAAAAATTACAAAAACCGAAATTTACTACAACTCTCTTAACAACTTTATTAATTTCCTCAATTTTGGTGAAACTTCTTTCTTCTTTTTTTCCGCAATTTTAGAATTGACAGACAAATAATTAACAGAGAGAAAGGTGTAAGAAACGGAAGGCCGCGTTGTTAACGGAATAGTGTTAAATTTTCTTTTTGAAACAATAAATACAGTTTCCCGTACAGGAATGTATAAAATAATTATTTTTGAAGTTTGTCACAAATTATATAAATTCTTTTTTGGTAAAATAATTTTATTCTTATTATTAAATAAATTTATTTCTACGTAAGTAAATGTTTAATTTTAATTTTGTTTTTACTTTTTTATAGTATTTTTTTCAAAAATATTTAAAGAGAAGAAAAATTTCGTTCATTTCATGGTTCAATAAAGTCCGGAAATTATTAATTTCAAATAAGTATTTTAAATACTAAAATTAAATATTAATTATTTTATTATTAAATAATTTTATTTTAGTTATTTTATTTGTTTATTATGATATATTATTACTATTATAAATAATTAAAAAATAATAGTATAATAAATAATATTAATTAAAGATGGAAAATTGGTTTATCTGACAATTATTTAGTTAATTAATTTAATTGATTATTTGATCAATTAGTATATAGTAAAATAAATAATTAATCCAACTACTATTATTATTTTTATTAATATTTGAAAATTAATATTGTAAATACCTTAAAATTGTTGATTCTTCGTCCGCTCTCTCCAACCTGCAACGTTGTCTCTTCACTGACGCTGATGATGTTGATGATAAAGATGATCTCCCTGCAGCGTAGCACTCAAAAAATCACTTTATTGTAAAAAAAACTTTTTTTTTGATTTATCGTTAACACGATTTTAAAGAAATTTTCGAATACTCCCGAATGACTATTAAAAACTAAAAAAAGATACTCATTATATTTTTAAATCGATCGCGGTTTGAAAATAATTCGAGCACTCCCGGAATGAAAAGTAGATGAGAAAACTATTTTTAAGAAAAAAAAAACATGTTTCAAAACGATTCTCGACGTCATTCACTTTATTCACTGCAAAAGAAAAAAAAAGAAATTATAAAAATTAAGTTAAATTACTTTAAACGTATGCGTATAAAAATTTTTCAAAGAACTTCCCACGTGGCCGCAAGAAATTTTGTGCACGCAAGGCTATTAAAATTTTTGCAGGTCTGAACATGTTACAGAGCGTTGTGAGTTTAGAATTTAGGGAGAATTTTCAGTACAATTTTATTACTGCAATTTAGAAATTTGAGTGGGGATTTTGAATCGACTATAAACCCTTTGTTCGATTGGCTCAATATAAACAGAGTTTTGATTTAATGATTTATTACTCTCAGGTAATAACAGTAACAACTGACCTTGATTCGAACTTTTTCAAATTACAAATTACAAATTACAAAAATCAACATACCTAATATAATTACTAAAATTATTTCTGTAGTAAATTAACAATCAACTTGTTTAACAATTTAAAATCACTTCTATGATTTTTAGTTAAAAATAAATTAAATTATTACTATTAAAGGAAATTATAAATTTTCAAAATGGTTAATGCAAATAATTATAATTAAAAAACAATACCTTTCAGTTGTGTGCCTGCGGAATTTTGGGCGCCGGCCTTTGGCTACGATTGGCTTATTCTGGATACACGACTCTTGTACCGCAATACAGTTTTGCATCGGCTGATTCATTTCTTCTTGCTGCCGGCTGTCTCACCTTCATTGTTGCTTTCTTCGGATGCTGCGGCGCTTGGTTCCAATCAAGATGCATGTTAATCACAGTGAGTGTTTATATACTTCATTAAGAAAAATCGAAATAAAGTTTATACACTCTTCTAAAATTGAAAGAAAGTTTACTCTCTTCTAAAATCGAAAGAAAGTTTATAACCGTACCCTTCTTTTTATTTTAGTATTTCAGTTTGGTAATTCTTGTCTTTTTGGCTGAATTCATGCTCGGAACGCTTGCATTCATATTTAAGGATTACGTGACTAATAGTTTGCGAGAGGAATTATTGTTTGGTATCGAGAAGCATTACAACATCACGAGAGAACCCGGTACTTTGCCTGCCGTTTGGGATCACATTCATTCAGAGGTAATAATATTCTTTATAAAAATAAAATATTCCCCATTGAAAATACTTTAAATTGAAATGCTATTGAGAAAGGATGAGAAGAAAGAAAAAAAAACTCTCCTCTTCTTCTTCTTCTTAAATGACTTTAGGCACTGCCAACAATCAGAACAACAGAAAAAAGTTCTTTTCTTTTAAAATCTTGATTTTAAACAATTTCTTCTGAATTAAAATTTTTGTTTGCTGAGGAAATTCCATCCACTTGATGGTAGATCACCACATACTTTTCCAATAATAGAATTATAAAACATGATAACGACTGATAACCATATAACTTGGTCCAATAATGGACTCCAACCATTCCAAACGGATACACGGGGAAAAAAAATTTAGCAAATTCGTCTTTCGACGAATTTTAATAAAATTTTTAAGAGTAATTACATTTTTCGAAAACTTCGATTAAAATTGTATTAAAAATAATTGAAATTCTACGATGAGTTCTATTAATTGGGAAACTAATTGAATCTCTAAAAAGAATTTTATTATTTATGCAAATAATTGAATCTCTATAGGAATAATTTTATTATTTTTAAACAATTTTTAATTTTTACGAAAAATATTAGTAGTCTTGAAAATAATTAAATTTCTGCAATAATTTCTAACTTTTCCAAAATTAATTATCTTCTTCGTGCTTTTGTAACTAAAATTCTTCTATAAATGCATTATTTTTAATAATTTTTCAAAACAATTCTTTGAGTATTTTCAAATTCATTTCTTTAGAATTGAAATTTTACGAAATTTCAATTATTCGGAAATCCTTCAGATAAATATTTAGAAAATAAAAACTTGAAATAATTTTTTAAAAAATCAATTAAAATTTGTCAAAAAAAAATTAATTCTACATAATTGTATAAAAGTTAAAAGAATGAAAAATTTAAATTTTCAAAGATTTCAATTTAAAACCTTTCTAAAAATTCAATTATTTCTATAAATTCACGCTATACTTTTAATATTCAATTAATATTTGAAATTTTATCTGAAATTCATTTTTATGAAATGAAAATCAAATTTTATTAGAAAATTCTACGAGAATTTAATTATTTAAATACAAAAATAAATAGTTTTTTGAACAATTTAATATTTTTTAAAATTCAATTCCCATAAAGAATTTTATCAGCAAATTTTTAAATAATTGAATTTTTTTGACGAATTTTAATAAAAATTTTAAGAATAATAACATTTTTCGAGGAATTCGATTAAAATTGTATTAAAAATAATTGAAATTCTGCAATCAGTTTTATTATTTATGAAAATAATTGAATCCCTGTAAAAATTTTATTATTTATTATGCATTTTTAAATAAATTTTTTTTTTAAATTCTACTAGAATTCAATTATTTAAATACAACAAAAAAGACAATTTATTGAATAATTGCATGTTTCTTAAAATTGAATTCTCATAAAGAATTTTATCAGCCAAGTTTTCAATAATTGAATTATTTTGACGAGCTTTAATAAAATTTTTAAGAATATCTACATTTTTCGAGGAATTCATTTAAAGTTATTGTGATTAAAAATAATTAAAATCCTACGATAAATTTGATTAGTTATGAAAATAATTGAATTTTTGTAACGAATTTTATTAAAATTTAAAAAAAATAATTAAATTCCTGTAAAAATTGTATTATTTATGAAAATAATTGAAATATTTTGACGAATTTTAATAAAAATTTTAAGAATAATATCATTTTTCGAGCAATTAGATTAAAATTGTATTAAAAATAATTGAAATTCTGCAGTGAGTTTTATTATTCATGAAAATAATTGAATTTCTAAAAAGAATTTTATTATTTAAGAAAATAATTGAATCCCTGTAAAAATTTTATTATTTAGGAAAATAATTGAATGATTGCGAAGAAATTTATAAAAAATTTGTAAATAATTGAATTCCTGGGAAATTTTTATTATTTTATGAAAGTAATCAAATAATTGCGTAGAATTTTATTCAATTTTTTTTAATAATTGAATTTTTTGGAAAATTTTATGAAAATAATAGATAGATATTAAAAATCATTGAATTGAGGACAATTTTTGAAAGTAATTGAAAATTTGCCAAGAATTTTATTAAAGTTTTGGAAAATAATTTAATTTCGAAGAAGAATTTAATTTTATTTCTAAAAATAATTTAAATTTTGGCGAGAATTTAAAAAAAAATTTTTGAACATAATTGAATTTCTGCGAAGAATTTTATTACTTTTTGAAAATAATTGAATTTCTTCAATCATTTGTATAATTTCTTTAAAATTCTCCAAATGATATCGTACAATTTACATTCTTTTCGTTTTTTCTCAATCAAATTACGGATTTTACGGACCCTTTAAAAAAAAATAATAATAATTTTTACGGACCCTTTTTCAAAAAAAAAAAAAATTATTTTTACGGACTTCAAGCAAATTTACGGACATTTATGGGATTTACGGACCTAGTTCGAGCCCTGAATAAATAATTATAATGAATTCTTAAATTTTAAAGTTTACATAGATTTGTCCAAGTCTTGGAATATCAACCTTAGAGATTGATTAATTTTTCTTTAAATTCCTAATACAATTTTAATGAAGATTTTGGAAAATTTAAGCAATTAAATATTTTAAATTAAATTAAAATAAAAAATTTTTAACAAAAATGAATAATTTGTGAGTTGTAAAATTAATATTAAATTTTTAGATAATTAGTAATAGTACCTAAGAAATATTAAGTAATAAGTAATTAGTAATATAGGTACTTACTAATAGTAAAAATTTTCTGTCCCGTTTATAGTCGTAAATAAATAATAAAATTAATAAAATATATTTTAAAAGGATACAAAGAAGACGAGATTGAAAATATTTTTTCTCTTTTTCACAGTTTCATTGTTGTGGAGTTCGTGACTATACGGATTGGTATCAGATCAGTGCATGGCCAACAGAAGATCGTGTTCCTGATTCCTGTTGCATTCATCGTGAAAGATATTGCGGTCGTCTTGATCCTGAGGGAAGAAATAAAGAATTATGGTATAAAGAAGGTTGCTCATCGGCTATTCAAATGTGGCTCGTTACTCGTTTACATGTAGTTGGCACTGTTGGTCTTGTTGTTGGTTTTCTTCAACTTTTCGGCCTATTAACCAGTATGATTCTATTTTGCACTGTTAAACAAAAACGCTCGTCTCACACTTACAAAAGTTATGACACCACTATCACTTAATTATTATTATAATAATTTTTTTTCTTTGTTTAAAAAAAAAATTGTTATTTTTTTCTTCGTTTTGCAAAAAAGAATTGCACTAAATTCAACTGTTGGAAACTAAAATACTCAAAAGAGAAAAAATGGACTATTTTTCGATTATTAGTTTTGGAAACGAATTTTTAATTATTGATTTATTTTTTATCGATTTTCGATTTGAGATCTGCAGTTTTTTACCAAAGGTACATTCCTCCGAACGATTTTAATTAGTAGGTGATTATTAACTATTACCGTAATTATTAAATTCTACAGTAATAATTATTACAAAAATAATAAATACAGAAAAAATTAGTATAGTAATTATTAATTACAATAATAACAATAATTATTATTACATACTAATCAATTTATTAATTCCTACAGTAATTATTAATTATTACTGTATTTATTGATTACAACAGTAATTTTTTTATTATTACTGGATTTCTTAATTCTTGTAGTAATTATTAAATACTATTGCAATAAATAATAATTTTAATAATTATTATTCTATTTATTAATTACGGAAGTAATTATTAATAATTACAGTAATAAATAATTATTGTAATAATTATTACTGTATTTATTAATTCCTACAGTAATTATTACTGTAATAATTAATTACCTTAGGAATTATGAATTATTATTGTAATAATTAATTACTACAGTAGTCATTGTTACTGAATTTATTAATTTTAGTTGTAATTAGTTACTAAGTGTCACAGTAATAATTAATTACTACGGTAATTGTTAATTACAGCCGTAATTATTAATTATTAACATTAAAAAAAAATAATCGCTAATTGTTATAATAATTACCAAAAAAATATTTATGAAACTGGAAAAATAATCACAAAAAGAGTAAAAATTTAAAAAAATATATTTTGTCACTTTTTTTTAAATAATTGTTTCTTTCTGTTTCTTTTCATTTTTTTTTTGTAATTTTGTCCTCGAGGAAATTACAGGTCGGAAAAATTATAAACTTCTCAGTTGACGGTGTTTTGTGGTTTTCTCGAGAAACCGCAAAGGAGAATTGAAAAAAAAATACCAGACACAAAAATAGTTTATGATTAAAAAACAGTGTGTGTTTTTTTTTAAGTTAACATGTCCTTCTACACAAAAAAAATTAATATTAATTACAATTTTTCTACGAGAGAAAAAAACAATTATTTTTGAGAAGTGAAAATTTTTATTATTTTATCCGAAAAAGTGTGTCAATTATTTTCGAAAAAATACGAGTTTTTATTATAAATAATTTGTGCAAAAAGTGTGTCGATTTTTTTATAATTTTCGAATTTTTATTATAAATAATCTGCTCGATAAATTTTTTTATAGACAAAAAAAAAGTGGAAAATATTTTTGGAAAATATTTTATAAAAAAATTTGAGAAAAAACAATACGAACAATTTTTATATAATATTTTTTTCAATATTTTATATTACAGGAAAGGAACAATATATTTATAATCTTTCACTGAATAATATAATATTGTACAGTATTTTTTTAATGAAAAAAAAATCTAAATAGGTTTTTTCTAACAATTTTGTAATTTGAAAGTAATTATGATATTATTAAAGAAAACGATTTTAAGAAAAAAAAAATAATTTACAATATTATATTAATTGAATACATTATTATAAAGTATATAATTATAATAATAGGCAGACGGTTCGTGTGCAGATATAACCAAGAATATCACATATTTTATTAAAAAAAAAAAATAAAAAGAATCCACGAAAATGAAAGAAAAACCCTTTTTATATTTTTAGAATACAATTATTCCAGAAACTGCAATTAGTATTAGTTCAAAAAGGGTAAAATGTATTTTGAAGAATTTATATAATCGTATATTTACCGATATATATTTATATCATTATACCAAATGTGTCATCGACATTATTATTTAATCGGATCATTATATAAAGTTCATATTATTGTATTCTTTTTTATGTTTATTAATAATTACGTAAGGAATCGTATTTATATTACGTACGCTCTAATTATTCACTCAACGTAATTATAATATTATAATTATAATTCTGTTATAATTATTCTCTATTATAATTATTTTCTATTATAACTATTTTCTATTATAATTATTTTCAATCATTATTTTCAATAATTATTTTCAATAATTATTTTCAATAATTATTTTCTCTTATAACTACTTTCTATTATATATTGTACTCAAAATATTGTTTTGGATGCAGATATTTTACTGGTACGATAAAAGATTATTTTTAGATTATAAGGAACAAATTTTTTTTCCATAATATTAAGTTTTAATACTAAAAGAGAAAAAAAATCATTTCTTAGGCAAGGTATTAATGATCCAAAGAGAAAAACAAAACTCCTAGTTGTAATTTTAGCTGTAAGACAATATTATATATATATTTTATTATAGAAATATTTTTTAGTGGAAAATATAATGTTAATTATCCAAGAAAAAAGGAAAATTATATACAGGACTGCATTTAGCGAAAAATGTAATCGTAAAATATATTACAATACATATAATCGTAATATAATTATGGAACAAGAAAAAAAGTAATTAACAAAAGTATACAATTGAAGATTTCCACAAAAAAAATTGTTTTTTTTTTTAAATTAGTCTCGTTGGATAATCCACGACTAGCCATAAAAGTGTTCTAGTAAATAATCTTCAATATTTCTCACAGATTTTTGTTTTGTTTTTAATTTTAATCAAATTTTTCTTTCGTAATTTTTAGGAAATTTTTCATTCTTATTTTAGAGTCATGTAATTTTTAGAGTTTAAAAAGAAAATAGTTTTTAGGATTTTTATTATAATGATATTATTATGAATATTATGATATTCATTGTAGTTTTTAAAATGGAGCACACACTGCAGGACGTAGGAATTTATTTGTCTACATAATTTTTAACGAGAAAAAGATATCTATATTTATTTCGATTTATAGACACTGTATGTACATTTTTAAACACTTATATGTTATGAAAAATTTACAAATACATTTATTCATAGAATTATGTAATGATTCGAGTTATTTTGTATTTTTTAACACCTTTTTTTTTTATTGAAGTCCTACTAATTTCGATCCAAGTTGATTGAGCGCTTCAGTGATACCTCGAGAAGTGTTTTTTGCCGCTTTCACTGGGAACTGAAATAATTTTCGAAATTTATTTTCTGTAATTAAAAATTTAATTTAAATTAAATTGAATTTAATTTAATTATTTCATTTTTTTATTTAATTTAATTTAGTTTAATTTTAATTGAACCTGAATAAATAATTTTTTAAATAATTTTTTTTCAATTGAAATTCAATATCATTAATTTTTTTAATCAATTTGTGAATTTAATAATTAGTAAAGTTAATTAAATTCCTAATTAACATAAATTTAAGTTAAATTTAAATTTAAATAATTATGAAAAAGAGTAATAAAAAAATTTTTTTTCTGTCATACATCAACGGCTGCATTGAGAAAATTACTGAGACCCTCGAAACCATTGACGAGCGCTCGTCCAACTCCAATGAATTTATCGCCGGAATTTCCGTATTTTTGATCCTCGCTAATTCCATCGATCAATGGCGTTGGTTTGAAAAATTTCTCCAAAATCCCCTCAACTGGATTTAATTTTGGTTTTTCAAAAAATGACTGTCCACTCTCATTTTCGAGACGTGCAGTTTCCCTTGTTCGTGGTGGTAAAAATTTTGCGAACGGAATTTTTTCATAAGAAGCTGTATTTTCCCTTCCTTCCGTCTGTTGAGAATCGTTGTCCGGAAAAATTACCGTCGTCACTGTATTTTGCGTTTCACTCGTAACCTGCTATCCACACGGACAAAAATAAAGCAAAAAATATATTTTTCATAATTTTTTATAATTTATTTTCCAAAACAAAAAAATTTCTTTATTTCTTAAATTTCGTTTTTCCTGGAAGTTTTTGATTTTAATTTTGATTTTAATTTTTGAAACGAACATCTTTTATGACGAAGAAAAATTATTTATTAAAAAAATTACTGTGATAAAAAAATAGCGGTAAAAAAATTACAATAGTAAATAAATAATACAGAAAATAAATTACAATAGTAAATAAATAACAGAAGATAAATTACAATTGTAAATAAATAAGAGAAAATTAATAACAATAGTAAATAAATAACAGAAAATAAATTACAATAATATATAAATTACAATAGTGAATAAATTGTGGTAGTAAATAAATAACAACATTATGTAAATAAATTACAATAGTAAATAAATTGCTATAAAATTTTAAAAAATTGAATTAAAAATTATGAAAAAAAGACACACAGACTTTTCATGAGGAACAATAAGAAAAATTTTTAAAGAAAGACGAAAATAAATAAATAAACAAAAGTTGCAAAATTAAAAAAAAACAGTAAATAAATTACGATTATAATAGTAAATAAATAATGATAGTAAATAAAATACAATAACAAATAAATTTTGCTCTAATTTCAAAAAATTACTAAAAAAAAAAAGAAAAAGATACACACAATATTTATAAGAAACAAAGAAAAATTCTGTCAAAGAAGTAAATATAAAAATCTCAATATTCTAAAATAATTATTTATTATTCTTGAAACGAAAAGGAATTCCCATGATGTGCAAATAATTTCACAATAATTATTCGAGCTCATTGCTTATGCAGACGATGAGATCAAACACATTTTTGCGCCATAGACAATGTGTCAGAATGTCTTTATTCATTAATTATTTATGTTTATAGATGTAATGTATCTTTTTTTTCTCTAAATAATAATAACAAGTGAAAACAAAGAAAACGTTTTAGATTATACTTTTTGCCTTGGAATTTTTATATTTCCTTTTTTTTCCCCTCCGCACTTAGGTGTAAAGAATATTTGCAATATCCTAACTTCTTTTTTTTTATCTATTAATTCTTTTCTGCAAAAAAAAAAGAAGAAAAATTTCGTAACTCGCAATTCACGTTGTGGTGACAAAAAAAAGTGTATAGTCGATGACAGGAAAATTGCTATATTTTATATGCTAATTACGTCTTTCTAGAAATGTTCAGAAATGGAAAATTTATTTTTTGCTTATTTTCTATGTTTATTACATAGAAAATAATCAAAAAATAAATTTTATTAATAAATTAATAAAATTAATGAATTAATAAAATTAATATAATAATTAATTAATTAATTAATTAATTAATTAATTAAATTTTTAATTTAAATAAATAAACTGAATATGAAATAATAAATGTAAAGAATAAGAAATAAGAAAAAGAAAATAAAAAAAATAGTCAAGGAGAGAAAAAGAGAAAGAGAGAAAAAAAGAGTGAGTGAGTGATGACAGGGCAGAGACAGAGAGAGATAGAGAGAAAAACAATTTTTTTTTACCAAATTATTATAGAAAAAAGATAGTTGCATGGAAGATTGGACTTTTTTTTTGTTTTCAAAAATTACCTCATTTTGGTCGATAAAGTTGTTTGCGGACAATTTAGCCGAATTTAATCTTCCATTGCCGAATCTCATGGCATCTGCTATTCGGTCTAACCATTCCTACAAAAACCGAAAAGAATAGTTTGTTCCTCTGAGTCATTGGAAAAAATTTTGAAACTCAAACAGTTTACAAATTTTATCTGCAAAATTCATCATCATCTGTTACTAATAATAATAATAATAATTATAGAAAGTCAAAATTTTTAATATTCAAATAAACCATAATTTAAAAAATAACAAAAACAAAATAAAAATAAATAAGAAAAAGAACAAGAATAAAGTATAAAAAATAAACGACAGAAAATAAAAATAGTAAATAGTAAAACAAAAATAAAGTATAAAAAATAAACGGTAAAAAATAAAAATAGTAAATAGTAAATAAAAATAGTAAAAAATATGAACAGTAAAATTAAAAATAAATAATAAAAATAAATACTAAAAGAATAATAAATAAATAATTTCAAACAAAATAAAAAAAGAGCATAATAATAAAATATAAATAAAAAATTACAGACAAAATTAAAATGAATTTTTCCATAAAGTACAAATAAATAACTAAAAATAATAATACTAGTAATAATGATTAATAATAATAATATAAATAAATAAATAATTTTTGAAAATTTTCTATACAATTGAAAAATAGGAAAGTCTGAGAAAGTAGACGTGTACTTATATGTTTCTTTGAAAGACGAAGAATTTTCTTTTATAATTTTTTTTACAACTTTCGTCACAAATCACTTTCATATATAATCAGCATTTCATTAAATTGCTTCTGTAATTGGACTAATTGTATAATATTATTATTTCTATTATTATTATTATTATTTTAAAAAATTATTATTATTATTTAAAAAACGATGAATTTTGCCATTTGCGAAAAACCAAATTTGACTCAGATAAAATTTTGATTTTTTCTTATCTACTCTATGTATTATGTGTAATGATAATTTTTTTTAGAAAAAAAAATAAACGAATTTTTTTAATTTAGTGTGTACCTCTCCTGCGTCCTGCATGATGTTTTTGAATAATACCACTGAATTGACAAATCTCCCTCTGCCGAATCTAATCTTATCCGCAAAATTGCCTAACAATTCCTATAAAAAATTGAAAAAAGAATTGTTTTTTGTTTAATGATTTTGTTTTTAGGAAAAAATAATTTAAAAATCTGGAAAATTGCTAGTATTAGAAAAAAATAAAAATAAAAAAAAGAAAGAAAATATAAATAAATAAAATAAAAAAAACTAATTATGTAAAAAAAAGTATTAGCAAGAATTTTGCTATTCTTTCGATTACTAAAAAAATATCTGAAAATTTCTTTTCAAATAAAAATTTACCATTCCTTGCTGGAACATTGTTGGTTCATTTTTGTTATCATTAGTAATTTCTTCAAGTTTCAACGAATTATTCAAACTGAACTTTGTCGGTTGTTCCGTTGGTCGACAAATGACATATTGAAGAAATAAAATCAGGCAGAAAATTTCATGAAAAATTTTCATTTTTTTAATTCAATGAAGTCCAAATGCAATCCAAGTGAATTTTCTTCTACACTGAAAATAACAATTATGTGTTAGAAAATTGTTTTATAATTTGTAAAAAATATTTGCTATTTTTTCAAATAAAATAAATAAATAAAATAAAATAAAAAAATAAAATAAAAAAAATGAAAATAAAATTTGAAAAAATAAAAAAAAATATTAAAAATTTTAAATAAAGAAATAGGGATAATTAGTAAAAAACGTTTAATAATACAATGGTGGTGATAATAAATGATAATGATACAGTATTTATTAATCCATACAAGCAAACCTTGAAACAAAGATAAAATAAATTATAGAGCTATTAAATAACAATATTTATTTAAGTGCAATCCTTTTTATTCAATCATCACTTCGAAAATAATTGAGAAAGTTTGGCCTTCGAATTATTTTTTATGCAACAGAAATTAAACGTTATCGAGGTATCTTCATTCTAAACGTAAAAATTCAACTGAACTGAGTAATAAATACCATTATTTTTTTTACTAACAATAACCTAATAAATAACAAAAACCAATTGATAAAATAAATAACAAAAGCAAATTAATAAAATAAATAAAAAAAACCAATTAATAAAATAAATAACAAAAACCAATTGACAAAATCAACAAAATATAAAATTCAAATAAATGCAAAAATATAAAAACCAACCAGAAAATAAAGGCAAATAAATATAAAACAATAATTAAAAAAAATATTAATAACAACAAAATAATAAGTGCAAAAGAAATAAAAAATAATTATTAAAATGTAAATAGTAACAAAATAATAAATGCAAATAAAAATATATATATTGCAACAAAATAATAAAAGCAAATAAATAACAAAAAAGTAATAAACATAAATAACAAATAATAAAAGAAATAAAGAATAACAATAAAATAAAGAATAACAATAAAATAAAGAATAACAATAAAATAAAGAACAAAAATAAAATAAAGAACAAAAATAAAATAAAGAACAAAAAAAATAATAATTATAAAATACCCAAATAATAATTATAAAATAATCAAATAATAAAAATTTAAAAATATAATTAAATAATAATAATTATTCTAATAGAAAAAGTATTGAAATGAACAACAAACTATAATGTATAAATAAAAGTAATAATAATTAGAAAAACATAAACATAATTTAATATCAAACGAAGCGAAGAAATAATTAGTATTTAATTAAGCTTGAAAATTTTCGTCTTATACATTTCAATAAAACAAATTATTAATTCCTCCATTAAGAATTTTAGTATTTAATAATTTTTTTTTTTTAAGACTTTTTCCAACTTATTTTTATACTCGTGTGCATTTGAGAGATAAAATAAAACTTAAATGTGTAATAAGATTTACAAATCTAATTGTAAAAGTTAATTATCCAAAAACTTCTATAATTTAAATGAAATTTTAATTAATTAACAGTCTATGAAAGAAATGTTTTTTTTTTTTCATTTAAAAAAAAAAGTGTAATTAGAGAAAAGAAAATACTCACCGTTTTCTGGTAGTTTATGATCATTTAAATATTAACTCGTCTGATAAAATTCACTGAATACGTTAAATTTCTAATACGATTAAATGCATTTTAATTTGATTTTCTTTTGTTTTTAAATTATTAAATTAAAAGAAACGAACATTTTAACACAGATTTTAACAGAACGTCAAACTATTCATCGATATGGTCAGTCAAAGACTAAAACTTTACTCCGCGTGTTAACGACACAACTGAATCTTACGAAACGTTATAGCTTTCTCTTTCGAGCTCTTCATGTTTAACATGATTTTGCAACAATTAATATTTTTTTTCGCATTTTGGAAAGTATTTTTTTTTCTTTTTTTTTGGGTTTTTATTGAGATTTTAGAAAATCGATTTCTATGTTGATCGTCCGAATAAATGAAGAAGCAAAAAAATTGTTCAAAGTCAACTTTTTGTATTTTTCTATTAAAAAAAAAATTTAAAAAAAAAATAAATTTTTGATAATATTTATTATAACAGTAATATAAATAAAAAATAATATTATCAATTAATAATTTTAATTTAAATTTTAATTGTTAATTTGAAATCAATTTAACAATTTACGTTTATCTAATTAAATTTATTAATTTATTTTATTTTTAGTAATAAAAAAGAAAATAATAAATGTTTCCGAAATTATTCACAAACAATTATAAATCATTTTAATATTAATATCGTTTAATAATAATTTAAGGGCATTTGAACCATGATGACGTCACAGATTTAAAACTAATGCTTTGCACAAACTGTGACGTCATCAAGGTTCAAATCCCCTTATAACTTCAGTAATATTTTTTGTAAAGCTTTTACAAAAAAAGTAATCTTTATTGAAAATGTCAGCTATAAATAAAATTATATTGTATAAAAATTTTTAATTATTATAATAAATACAATAATTTCTCTATATCTCACTAAAAATATTTATTTCTACAAAATCTTATTTATTAACCCTTCTGTATTTAATAAAAAAAAAAATTTACCGCTGAAAGGTACAAAATTTGTAAAATATTTCGCCAAGTTTTCATATAAAAATTTATAAAAATTATATTTAAATTAATTTTAAATTAATTTTATTTAAATTATTTTTATTAATTTTTATTTATATTTTTTATTTTTTTTAATATTTAATCCGATCGTCACGATAATATTCATCGAAAATAATCTCAAAAAATATTGAAAAAATTTAATACTAATATTATATGATAAAATAAAATTTGTTGAAATGTTAAAATATATTTTCAAAATTCTTTTAAAGAACTAAATTTATTTTATTAACAAAAATTTACTATCTTATCTGATAGTGAAAAATCTACAGAAAAAATAAAATAGTGAAATAAAATATAATAAAATAATAAAAATAGAATAGTAAAGTAAAATAATAATAATAATTAAATAACATAAACAAAAGAATAAAATAATAAAATAAATAAAAAGTCATTTAAGAATAAAATAAGAAAGAAATTCCAGTTTACACAGAAGTTAGAAAAAAATTTTCTGACATCATTTAAGATGAATAACAAATCGATCGGTTCATTCTTTGAGTACTTAATTTATTTATAAGAAAACAAGACGACAATGTGGAAATATTTTTTTTTTTCTTTTCAACCTTGCTAGTGTGACTGAGTATTTTACATGCGGAGGTGTAAACGGAATACAAAATATGTAATTCAAATGTACAAAAAAAAAACGTGCAACTACTTTTAAATAAAGTTCACTGTGTTTTTAAAAAAAAAAACCGTTTTTTGTCTCGAAAATTTCCAACTGGATTTTCATTTATTCGGCATTCAACCGATTTTATTTTTCAGCAATTGGTTCACGGCATTTAGTGTTGAGATCGGTATCTGAAAAAAATTTTATATTGTTATTAATAATTTAATTAATTAATTATAACTATGAATTTATTTATTTTAATATTGACTTACATTGAAAATGTCATCAAATAAGGTACTGGATTTTTGACCATCGTAATTATTATTGTTGTGCGAATAAGACACCTCGGGACCTGCACGAGCAAAAATTCCAGGTGAACTTGGAGCCACAATGGGTTCTCCTTCGGGTAACAAAACAGTATTATAAAGAACATTTTTTCTCGCACCTGCTCTTAATCGTTTTCTGTACCAACGGGCCGGATAAATCCCACGATTACGTGACTCCAGATTTGTGTCTAGATTTGCAAAAAGAAAATAAATAAATAAACAAAAACAAATTGAATGACAAAAAAATTATTATTAATTGAAAAATTATTTTGAATATTTATAAAGGATAATAATTAAATAATTTTGAAACAATGCAAGAAAAATAGAGGAATAATAAAATTTAATTAAATAAATTTACTGAATAAATTCTTTAAACAAATTAACTAAAGAAATTAATGAAATAATTTAACTAAATAACTAAATAAATTAAATAAGTGAATTAAAAAAATTAACTAAATTTACTGCTATCTAAGTAAATAAATAATCGAAATAAACAAATAAATGAACAATATTTTAGTAATAAGTTAATAAAATGACTAAATAACTAACTTAATTAATTAACTAATTAATTAATTAATTAAATGAACTAAATAAGTAAACAAAATAAATTAATAAATTGACTGAATAATTAACTAAATAAATTAATAAACTAGTAAACAAATAAATGAACTAAATAGATGAACTAAAAAAAATTAACTGAAGAAATTAATTAAAAAATTCAACTAAAATAATAAATAAAATAACTAAATAAACGAAATAAATTAATAAATTGACAGAATAACTGAACTAAATGAATTAAGGAACTAATAAACAAATAAATAAACTGAATAGATAAACTAAAAAAATTAACTAAAGGAATTAAGTAAAAAATTCGACGAAAAAAATAAACAAAATAAATTAATAAATTGACTGAATAAATAAATCAACTAAATAAACGAATAAAAAAAATAATAAGATAAACTAAAAAAATTAACTAATTAAATAAATAAAAAAACTAAATAAATAAACGAAATAAATTAATAAATTCACTGAATAATTAACTAAATAAGTAAAGAAACAAACAAATAAATGAACTGAATAAATAAATTAAGAAAATTAATTAAATAATTTAACTGAATAACTAACTAAATAAATTAATAAACTAATAAACAAATAAAGGAACTATAAATAGATGAACTAAAAAAAATTAACTCAAGAAATTAATTGAAAAATTCAACTAAAATAATATATAAAATAACTAAATAAACGAAATAAATGAACAATATTTTATTAATAAATTAATAAAATGACTAAATAACTAACTTAATTAATTAATTAATTAATTAATTAATTAATTAAATAAATGAATTAAATAAATAAACTAAAAAAATTTACTAAAAAAAGTAATTGAAGAAAGTAACTAAACAAATTAACCAAATAATTCAACTAAATAAGTAAAATAACTAAATAAATTAATAAATTGACTGAAATAAATCAACTAAATAAACAAATAAATGAAAAACATAAATAAGCAAAAAAATTATCTATTTAAATCAACTAAGTAATTCAACTGAATAACTAATTAAATAAATAAAGTAACTAAATAAATAAACAAAGTAAAATTAATAAATTACTAAATTAATTATTGGATTGTACAAATTTTTTTGTCAAATAGAAAAGGAAATTAATTTTCTATAATTAATAATAATTAATTATTAATTTTTTATAATTAATTTAATTTAAATTAATTTACCTAGTGCGTCGATAGATGAACCTTCAGCCGGTTCTGATTTATCCAAAGTTTTTATCTTGAGAACTGATATTCCAATTCCCGTATCTTTGTCATCATTATCCTGCAAAAAAATAATTTTTGCAATTAATATTAAAAAGTAAAATATTCCATGAAAAATAGAATAAATTAAAAACAAAAACAAAAAAAAAAGATATAAATGACTATATGAATCAGAAATATAATTTTAAATTCAAAAACCCATTTGTTAAAAATACATCAAGATATATCGGTCAAAACAATAATTTATAAAATACAATAAATTTTATTTTTAAATAAAAATCACTATAATCAGTAATTTTTCCAGTAGAAAAAAATTCATTACAATTGGTAAATTTTAAATAGAAAAAAATTCATTATTAGTAAATTTTCAATAGCAAAAAAAAATTAATTATGATTAGTAACCTTTTATAGTAGGAAAAAATTAATTTACGTTCTTTTCAGAGTCATTTGAAGGTAATAATAATTAATGCTAAAGTTTAAAATATCTTCGATAAAAAAGAGAAGAAGATTAATTTTTCTTTCTTGCTACCAAAAAAAAAAATTTGATTTATCACTTTTTCTTAATTTAAAAACATTGTATTATTGGCAAAACGTAAAAAGAAAAAAAAATGCGAGAAAAATTAACAAAGAATATTGCCTTTTCTTTCTGCAGTGACGTCACTGTCGTTGCAGATGAAGTTGCAGATACGCCTGAATCATCATTGGCAGTGATCTCCTTAGACGATGATGCTACCTGATTTATTTAAATAATCCTTTTTTTACTTACTTATGCTTAATCGAGTTTTTTTTCTGTAATTAAATCACATGAGTATTCGTTTCACGAGTAATTTTTTTCTTTTCTAAAAATATATTTTCTGTTTTCTCAATTTAGTGGTAAATTAAATTGTCATTAAGTTATAGATAATTATTAAATTAATTATTATTATTATTATTATTATTATTATTATTATTATATGGTATAGAATAAAAATACGTCTAAAGCCTTGGAAGCACGAACTGTGCGTGAGGAATAAATAAATAATATTATAGTGAAAAATGACATAAAATAATAATTATAATTTATTTAATTAAATTAAATCATTTGAGTTGAATAAAATAAATTATTTGGAAAACGAGAGAAAAATTATTTAGTAAAAAAATTATTTGGCAAAAAATAAAATTAATTATTTAGTAAAACGTAAAGTAAATTGTTTAATAGAAAAATTATTTAACAAAAAAAAGTGTTCAGTAAAAAAAATTATTTGACAAAAAATAAAATAAATTATTTCGTAAAAAATAAATTAAATTATTTAGTAAAAGAAAATTGGTTAATTGTTTCAAAAAAATTAACTAAAATAATAATTTAGTATAAAATTAATTGTTTAACGCATAAAAATGAAATCAAATTAAAAATTTCAATTGGCGAGAATTTCAGTCAATTTTTAATTATAAATTTTTTTTTTCTAATTTTCGAATTCATAAATAATTATTAGTAAAAGTTTATTTTCTCAAATTCAATTTATAGAAAAAACTCACCTCCTTATTTTTCAACGCTCGTGGAATAACTTGAATATTTTTTCGTTCGTTTTCATTTTTTTCACCTTTTTTCCACGTTGAGTCGGCAAACACTACACCATCGCGGTACAATTTTTTCGACGATCCATCGAGAATTCCTCCGAGTCCGGCTTTTGCCTCTGGACCATCTTTGCCCAAACCAGCTCGAGCATGTAGACCACCACCTGAAAAAAAAACAATTAGAAAAATTGTCCTTTTTTTCTTTTATCAAAAATACAAATTTTTATTTTGCAATTTTTTATTTTTTCCTCAAATTTTCCCTATTTTAGAATTATTTCTTTTCAAAATTTGTTTTTTTCAAAATTAATTTTTCGAAAAGTATTCGAAGGATGTAAAAATCCAAAAAAGATGGAAGGAAATCAAAAATAATTCGTACCTGGGAAATTTAATGAAATAATAATTTAATATTTTTATTTTATTCTTCAATAAATAAATAAATGGTGATGGTCATAGTCGTTAAGGCACGTGAATTAGTGAGTGGAACTTAGGGTCAGTGGTTCGATTCCCAACGTCAAAGAAATCAAAAATAAATAATTAAATAAATGAATTATTGAACAAAATCAAGAAATATTTAATAATTATACAATTAAATAATAATAATAATAATTTTTATAATTATACAATAAAATTTATAAAATTTATAAAAATTATAAATAAAAATAAATAATTAAATAAATAGTGAAAAATAAATAATAAATAAATTCTAACTAAATAGTCTTTTCTAAATCCGTCTGACCAAAAACGGAATTCTCCACTTACGCTCCACACTATATCATTTTCCATCTTCTCCTGTCAATGTAATTATTTCCTAATAAAGAAAAAATAAAATTTATAGGGTCACGTAAACATAAACATTAATTAGTTCATAAATAACAATTTTCAGTGATTGCAAAATTTTCTCTAATTTAAAATAAGCAATAATACAAAGAAACAAAAGAATTGACAAATAACGGGAGGTCACTTCCCATAAATCACATAATTTTTTTTTTTTTTCATTAATTTCTTCTACGCGCGATTATAGAAATTATTGTATATCCTCCTAATGATCAAATGCGACATTAAAAAAAAACAAGAAACGCAGTTTTAATAATTTTCTTTTCAGCTCGTTTTTCAACACGATTAAAATATATGACTTTCACTCATCACGGAAAAGTCAAAGATAAATTATGATTTATATTATATCGATATTATAAATTATGATGAGAAATTTTTTTTCTCGAATTGTAATTTATACCAGCGCTTCCGTTGTCACCGAGAAGTCCACCTAATCCAGCGGAAGCGTGTGAACCTTCAGGAGTTCCGGCGCTTACATGAAGACCACCTCCGGCTCTTCCACCACCTAATAGTCCACCGAGTCCAGCTTCCGCGTGATAACCACCGAAATTTAATCTCACAGCTCCATTTTTAAATTCCAAAAATGGTGGCTAAAAAAAAAAATTTGTCAAAAAGGAAAAAGACTGTTAATTACATTTTTTATACAATTTTTAATAAATTAAACATAATTTTCCATAATTAATATTATTTTTTGTTATTGTTATTATTATTCTTATTAGAATTATTATCAAGAAAATTTAGTGATGATAATTAATAGTAAAAATATATTATTCTATTCTATATGTCAATTACAAATTTTAATTGAAATAGAAATTGAAACTTTGTAAATTTTTAGAAAATAAAGGAAAAAATTTTACTCAAAAAAATGATCTGTTACATTTATTTACGAATTTCTTTAATTGTAAAAAATTATTCGAAAAAATCAATAACTTTTTTTTTAAATATATATTTAAATATTATTTTTCGTAGGAATTTAAATTTTTCAAAACATTCAAATTCAAATATTTTTAAATTTAATAAATTAGAAGAATATTTTTATAAAACATGAAGATAGCGATTGCTCCGAGTCGAAGACTCGGAGTGATCGATTTCTTCATGTTTTATAATAATTAAAAAGTGACCGAGTGATAAAATCATTGTTTTATATTATAAGAATATTATTACAGTAACTTTTTCAAAAATTATTTTCATCATTTCAAATCAATTACTATTTTCTACAATTTTTCATTATTTTTTATGAAAATAATTGAATTTCTTAAAAAAAAATTTATTACTTATAAAAATAATTGAATTATTGCGAAGGAATTTATAAAAAATTTGTAAATAATTGAATTTCTGAGAAATTTTTATTATTTATGAAAATAATTAAATGTTTGCGTACTATTTTTGGAAATTTGAAATTGATTTGAAAATAAATTAACTTTGGGGAAGAATTTTGTTATTTATAAAGATAATAATTGGGATTTTGACGAGAATTTTTTTTTAAATTTGAAAGATAATCTTCAATCTTTAAAAGATAATCTTCCAACAATCAAAAAAAAATTTTTTTTATTAATATTATAATACAAGGAAAAAATTGTTTAAAATATAAATAATTATACAATAATAATAATTATTATTATTATTGTATTTTGATAATAATTATTATTAATAATAATTATTGATTACAGAACAAAAAATTGAATCCAAAAAATCGAAACCAAAAAAACCAAAAGAAAAAATCAAAAGTACAAAAAATCCAAAATAAAAATGTTCAAAGTCAAAAAATCCAAAATAAATAAAAACGTCCAAAATAATTTTGATAAAATTCTTTATAAAAATTTAATTTTTTTAAACACAATTCCAATTAACTTACTTGATTAATTTAATTTTCAGAAATTTAAAATCAAGGCAACCATTAAAATTTTTATATCTAAATTTTTTCATTGGATTTTTATTTTCTTTGTACTTTTTGAACAGGACAAAAAATCCAAAAATTAGTCTCCAAAGTAAAACTATTTTTTTTTACTTTTTTGGATTTCGTTTACCTTGGATTTTTTGGTTTGGACTTTTTGTTTTGAACTTTTTGTCCTGATATCAAAAATATTCTAATTTATTTATATTTTTATTATTATAAATTTGTTTTTATTATTTTTACAACTCCTATGAGCAATAAAGCTTCAGGAATGTGAATAATTAATATTAAAAAAAAAAAATTTTATCAATTTACTACTTTTAAAACTGTAATATTTATTTTACATTCATAGTTTGCTAACAATAATAATTGATTATTATTTTAAGTGTCAATTAAAAAAATTTTACACCGTCATTATTATAACAATATAGCTTTTGTTGATAATTCTCTTCTTAAATTTTTGATTTATCATGTATTTTGTTATTACAATGTAATAATAGCAAATTAAATTTTTGTCTGCGGTATAATGATATTTTTCAGAAATTAAATTAAAATCCTTGAATCGACACTTGAATTCTAGAAACCAGTTTATTTTTGCATAATTTCATGATAAAATTTATTTCTAAAATGTCAATTTTATTTTTACCTTATAGGATAAAATTAAAAAAAAAAATCAATAAGACTAAAAATTCATGAAAAAGTGACGACAGTGGCTTGAAGATCAGATTTTACAACTTTTGTTAATTAATAATTTATTAATAACTATTTAATAATTAATTAGAGGCTAAATAATAATTAATTAAGAATTAAGGAATAACAAATTAATAATTAATTCATAACTAATTAATGAATAACAAATAAGTAATGAATTCAAAGCTAATTAATGAATTACAAATAAATAATTGATTCATAACTAATTATTGAATAAGTAATTAATAATATTTCTCCAATTTAATCAACAGTGAACGAAAAATTGCAGATAATTAATTTCCAATTAATTAAAAATAAAAACTAATTAATAATTTACAATTTCAATTAACAGTGAATAAAAAATTGCTGATAATTAATTAATAATAATTACTAATTACTGGTAAGTATAGGCATAGATTGAAAATTAGTTGTGAAAATCCATTGTCGTGTGAATAATGTCTCATGAATTTGTCTGTAAAGAAATGTAATCACCTACTTAGCCAAATATTACATATTCCAAGGAGATAAGGTCACGCATAGTCAGACACAAATAGAGTGCATTATATTCTATTATATATACAAAACATTTTGCACGCTTTTGTCTTTTCTTTTTTTAGAGAAAAAAAATAAAAATAGAATTAAAATTTTAAAATCTTAGTTTTTTTAAAAAAAGAAGTACAACTACGTGACAATGTACAAATGAATAATAATTACCAATGAACAATGTCATATTATCATTTCACTTTTGAAATAAATTACAATATTTACTCATTTCAGTTTCTTAACGACCAACGACCCTAAAAAGAAAGCATTGAGAAAATTATAATTTATTAATAATTCCCTAGTATTTTCAAAAAAAAAATTATTTTTTTTTCCACACACAGAGAAAATATATTTACGTATCTTTTTCATTTATTATATTTTTTGCAGTTTGGATTTATTTATGTATTTAACCACATGAACAATTTTTATTTTCTGTATCGAGAAATATAATTTATTTAAATAAGAATTCAATAAGCTAAATTACATTAGTTAATTAATAGAATTGTTTCTATTAATTTTCTTTCTATTTAATATTTATTTTTGTTAATATTAATATTTAATTAGTAATTAATAATAATTAATAATAATTAATAATAATTAATAATAATTAATAATAATTAATAATAATTAATAATAATTAATTAATTAATTAATATTAATATTATTAATTAATTAATAAAAAATAAAATAAAATAAAATAATAAAACTTTTTTTAAAAAGTGCAAAAAATAAAAAAGCACCAAAGGTGTGACAAAAATGCCAAAAAAAAAAAAAATAAAAAATACAAATTGGTGTTAAATAAAAAAAAACATTAAAACAATTGAACGTGAAAGTATTATTTGAAAAGTCAATATATAGATATACACATATATGTGCGAGGCACACACTTCCGTAAGACCTTTCTCTCTTACGTTTTCACGTCAATATACGTCATATTACAGCAATCCTGACTAATTACGTGGTTTCCCTTTCCTCTCTTCTCGAGAGACTCCAATAATCTCTTGAATTTTTCAATCATAAAAAAAAAAAATAAAAAAATTAATAAAACCAAAAAAAAATCCCTTCAATGCAATCCTATCTATAAACAGTGCAAAAGATGTCTGTTCAGCAATATACCAGGAATATTGCACAATTTTTCATTTTTTCTTTTCAATCTTTTTTTTTTTCCTTTTTATAGAGCAAAATGCTCACCAAATCTTGTGCAACAATGTTGCAGAAATGATCCAGAATTCAATCAATTTTCATTTCAAGGATTTACTTTCTATATTCTCATCGTACATCAATTTAACTTCATGTGTGCAATTAAAGCTTTCAATTTTTGTTTTTCTTCTCACTATATACAATAAAATATGTGCAATTCGTTAAAGATTACAAAAATTTATTGTCATCATCCTGAGCTTGGTTTCTGTTGGAGGAAAAAAGAATTTATACGTAAAAAAATACAAAGTGTAATTTTTTTTATTCTACTTAAAATTATAATAATAACAATAAATTATAATTATAATAATAATAATAATTAGAATAACTAGCTTGAATTTTGTTGGGAAAAAAATACTTTATGCCTGAAAAAATACGCAAAATATAATTTTAGCTAATTTTTTTTATTAGAATTATAATAATAACAAAAATAATAATAAAAAAAATAACAAAAATAAAAATAACAAAAATAATAATAACAAAAATAAAAATAACAAAAATAAAAATAACAAAAATAATAATAACAAAAATAGCAATAATAATAACGATAATAATAATAACAATAGCAACAATAATAACGATAATAATAACATTAATAACAATAACAATAACAACAGCAACAGTAATAATAACGATAATAATATAAATAACAATAACAACAGCAAGAATAATAATAATAACAAAAATAATAATAAGAAAAATAACAATAACAATAGCAACAGCAACAATAATAATAAAAATAGAAATAATAACAATAATTATTTTTACAAATATAATATTAACTATAACAATTACTATAATAATTATTATCGTTATAAAAATTAAAATAATAATTACAATAATTTATAGTTTTTTTACGATTAACTTTTAACTTTTAATTCCAAAAAGTAAATTTAAAGAAAGCAATGCTGCAAAACAGTTGTGAAACATAAATGAAATAGAAAAAAAACACGTTTGTTGTAAAAAATGTTTCTTCATTTTTCATTTACACACTGCGAATGCGTGTTGGATTGTTAGACATTTAAAAAATTAATGAAGAAGAAAATTTTCCACTCACACCACCTGAGGATTCTTGGGACGTTTTGTCAGCGTTTATAATTTTTTGCGGAAAACCTGATGAAAGGGTTAAAACCGCAACTAACAGAACAAGCGTCACTTGCACCTCACTCGACATTCTCGCGATTACTAACAACAGGTAGCCATTAGTATCGCGTCGAGCTCGATGTCGGGGAATTTCTAAAAAGACCTCTCACGGACAATTTGTTTCCCGTGCAGAAAAGAAGAAAAAAAAATAAGAAATAAAAAGAGACTGAGAGAGAAGGGAAGTCTCAAACATCTTTGTCATTTGCTTGTGTTAAATATCAAACTCCAACCACACAAAAATGCTTTTGTGTTTCGTAAAATATGCGTAAGCGCGCCGATTACGAGGCAAGAGGGAAATAATAAAATTTTAAAAGTGGAGAAAAAAAAATTGTTTTCCTTCGATACATTCACTTGAATCAAGGTTTTTGATTTTGCGATTATTGAACTTTGATCGTCAAATATTAGAATTAAAAAATATTTGTTTAAAAAATTTAAAAATATATATTTTTTTTTTGAGAATTCAAATATAATGTAAATATAATCCAAATTTTTGAAAATGAAAATAATTTTTCAATTAGAATATTTAGGAAAATCGTAATTTTTCTAAGGAAATCAAATTGAGACAGAAAACGAATCAAAATGTTGCTTCGCAACACTTTTGATTCATTTCTTGTCTCAATTTAATATCCTTAGAAAAACTGTGATCTAAATATTAATATTTCAATTAATATTCAATTAATATTCAATTATTTTCAATTATATTTTTCAATTTGGATATTTAGACAAATCTGGAAAATATTAATATTAATACTTCAAATATTCAATTAAATTTATATTTTTTAATTAATATTCAAATCATATTTTTCAATTTCGAATACTTATGAATATTAATATTGTGATCTAAATTTTTGAAATTAAAAAAAAGTAATATAATCTTTTTTTTTACTATTTCTCTAAAGCAAAAAAAAATTCTCCAAATACCTACAAAAGATTTGAAAAAAAATTCCTCTTGACGAACTATTTTTTTATTTCTTTATTATTCACAAACCAAAAAAAAAGTCTCCAAATACAAAAGATTTGAAAGTATAAATAAAAATATTAAAATATTTCCTCTGTCGAGAAGCGAAAAATGAACGAATTAATCAATTTATCAACAAAATTATTGTGAAACTAAAAATAATACAACAGTTGTTGCAAATAAAAAAATTTCAATTAGAGAAGAGAATTTTTTAATAGAGAAATTTTTTTTTAATTACGAAACAATTATATTATTGATTAAAAAAAGTTTTTTCTCTTATTTATAATTAAAACTAGCGTTTAAAATTATATCCAAACGAGTAAAAATTTAAATAAAAAATATAAAATTACAAGTAAAAAGTTAAATTAAATTAAAATCGACAAAATTAATTTAAAAAATTAATTAATTAATTTTCTGTTATTTATTTACAACTAGCGTCTAAAATTATGTCCAAAAAAGTAAAAATTTTAATAAAAAATATAAAATTACAACTAGAAAGTTAAATTAAATTAAAATCGAGAAAATTAATTAGTGTACCCATCGCTAATGACCCTTATAGTCGATGCGACTCTTAAATTGCTAAATAAAAAAATATTTATAATCGACATTTTTTAAAAATATTTAATTCATAGTTTTAAATAAAATTGCAAAGATATTTCCCAATTTACATTTCCATTCATTACAAGAAAAAAACTAATTAACGACAATAATTTGTGATTTTGTATTTATTTCAAAGTTAATAATTTATTAAATACACAGATTTTCGAAGGATATCAAATTGAGACTGAAAACGAATCAGTAATTTTTATACATTTTTTGTCTGAATTTAATATTCTTAGAGAAACTGTATAATATTATTATTGATAATAATAATAATAATAATAATAATAATAATAATAATAATAATAATAATAATAATAATAATAATAATAATAATAATATCAAAAAATTATTATCTTATTAGATATAATATTATTTATATTTATTATTTATTAAAATTCTACTGCATTTTTTTATTTAATTAAATAAAAAAATGCAGTAGAATTTTTTTCACTAAAGATAAAATAATATCCTGGAAAAAAAAGGCAACATATTAATAACAATTTTTATTATTACCATTTTTTTCTCTTAAATTAATATCGCATCATTATTATTTATTTCTTTTGAAAGGTGTGCGTAAAATCAAAAAGACATTTCGCCAAGTACTTCTTAGAGAAAAAAAAAATCAAACACTTTGTAAAGAGAATGTTGTAATTGAAAATAAATTAACATTTAGGTCTCGTAATTAAAGGAAAAAGGGTGAAAAAAATTTAAATATAAGAGAGAATAAAAAAAAGGAAAATTTATAGATATATTTTACAACTTATTTTAACACTTTTATAATACATTCCTCGTTTTGCATTAATATAAATTTTTACAATATTTATGCAAACGATGTACTTAAAGTTCAACTTCTGAAACTCGCCAATATTGACATTACTTTGAGCATTACTTCACACTCTCTTTAATGTAGTACATTATTTATCTATTTCTATGCTTATTTTTTTTATTAAATTAAATTAAATTAAATTAATAAAATTCAATAAAAAATTTAAATATATATTTGCGACTAATTATATTATAACTTATAATAATTATACTAATATATTATTCCTATAATTGTTTATTATTATTATTATTATTATTATTATTATTATTATTATTATTATTATTATTATTATTATTATTATTATTATTATTATTATTATTATTATTATTTTTATTATTATTATTATTATTATTATATTTGTTTAGAAATTAATTCGTTCATTTATGTAACTATAAACTGGCAATGCCCTTTCTTAAGTGCTCTAATAATAATTATGACTATTAATTTTTTTTTTATTGTTAAATATTATCCCAGCTTTCATAATAATATTAATATTTCTACATTACATTCGTTTTCTCATAATTTTTATTTCTTATCATAATTTATATACATATTTGAACCGATTACATAATTATAATTTATATTACTTTAAATTCCCTTCATTTGATCGATTTGCAATTCTCATCAATTACAATTTCGATAAAAGATTATCTATATAAAAAAAAAATTTCTTTTAGGCAATGAAAGTGCGGACCGATTATAAAAGTTAAACAAAAGTTCATTGCGATTAATATCCATTTGTCTTACTTTCACAGGAAGAATTTTGGAATTTTAGATTCGGATAATAGATTATTACTTATATACTGGCCGCTCTGTACTTGAGAAAAAAAAATTTAAATTACATCCAAAGGTACCTCTGGCGCACTATTAAGATAAATCAGCAAAACGGTAGAAGAAAAAAAAATTAATATACACGAAATACTGCAAACAATAAATAATAATCAACTACCTGGGTGTGTTTATAAAACGTTCCGTAATCACGAAAAAAAAAATTTTTTATTTTTATATTAAATCATTTTCTCCCATTTTTCATTCTTATCGAAAATAATCGATATTTATTTCTTTCGATTCCTTTTTATTCTATTTTTATACTATTAATGATTTTATTTAGGCTAATAATTTAATTTTAATTTTTAAATAATAAATGAACTAATAAATGGACAAATAAATGAACAAATAGATGAACAAATAAATGAACAAATAAATGAACAAATAAATGAACAAATAAATAAACAAATAAATGAACAAATAAATAAACAAATAAATAAACAAATAAATAAACAAAAAAATAAACCAATAAATAAATCAACAAACAAATAAATAAACCAATAAATAAATAAACAAATAAATAAACAATTAAATAAATAAAAAAACCAAAAAATAAATAAACGAACCGATAAATAAACAAATAAATATTTTGTAATTAAAGGCCTCAATACAATTTTCTTTTATTACAAAATAATTATTCTTATTAAATTAAATAATTCTTATTGAATAATTTTTATTCAAAATAATTCCATTTAATTCTGTAAATAAATAAATTACAATTTATTAAAATTTAAATAAATAAAATTCAATAATAAAAAATAAGAAAGAAATTTCTTTTTTTTTAAATCTTTTATTGTGTAACACAAAAAAGATAGTGAATAATCAAAAACTAATTATAATGGCACTGATTAAAAAATTTAAATTTAAAATTATTTCTGCAAAATTAGATGTAAATATGAATTTACACAAGAAACACGTACGAGTTTTTTTAATTGCTTTTTTTTTCTCTCCTTTAAAATCACGTCTGTCATTCCTATTGACGCGCAGGAGATTCTTTATAAGTAAAGCGAGAAATTTTCATCTGACGTAACAAAATGATAGAAATGGAATGAGGAATTCGTTTTTCTGTAACGCATTAACAAAAATGGCAAATCAGGTCCTTTGAAATTCAATAATAAATTTTAATCAAGACGCAAGTTCATTGATCTGTGATTTATAAAGAAGAAGAAAAAATGTCGATTTATAGATTTTCTTTACAAAGAAGAAAAAAAAATTGTCAATTCATAAAGATTTTTCTTTTTAAAGAGGAAAAAAAAATCTCGACGTAGGTACTAAATTTTCTTTGAACGGAAATTTATTGTGACGCCCAGACACTCGGCATATATATTGTATATAGTTTCATCATAGTTAATAATTCCCCTCTTCTATTTAATGAAAATAAAAAACCAGATAATATCGTATAATTATTATGCATGTTGTTTTACGTTGAGGAAATAGTAATCTCTAAACAATAAATACCTTTTAACGCTTGAATAATTGTTATTTCTTTTCGATTATTTGCCACTAAATAACGTTCTGCATTATTGTTTTCAAAAAGATTTGTGTATTCAATTTTTCAATATCTTCCATTCATAGGGAAGATTTAATCAATGAACACAAAAGAATAAATAGTTTCGAGATAGTTTATTATCTTTCAATTTTTATCCCTTCAGTGCCTCGAGATTTATCACCAATTCATTGCGTTCTTTCGTATTAATTCCCCATTATTAACAATCACAATTTTATTTTTGCAAAAAAATTTTTTTTTTTTAATTATTTAATTTTTATATTTATTTTTTTTTAACAAATTAAAATTAATTTTTTTCTTTAAATATTTATTTATTAATAATTATTTATTAATTTTGTTTTGAAGAAAACAAATTAAAATTATTTTTTTCTTTAATTATTTATTTCTTATTAATTTATTACTATTATTAATTTTGTTTTTTAAAAAATAAATTAAAATTAAATAATTAAAGAAGAAAATCAATTTTAATTTGTTTTTAATATTTTTTTCTTTATTAATTATTGCTTCCAGTGCAATTCTCTTTTACAAAGAAACCTATTTTTGCAACTATTTGGTAATTAAAAAATTGATTCTTTAATTGATTTACTCTCCAAAATAATTAATTAATAATAATTTTATTTAATTTTTAATTTAATATTTCGTAAAAAACAAATTAAAATGAAATAATATAATCAGAATTAAATAATTATTATTCTTTATATTCAATTTTAATTTTGTTCTGTGTGAAGAATATTAAAATGAGAGAAAAAAATTACTTTTAACTTTTGTATTTAACACTTTTTTCTTTATTAAGTATCGCTTCTTGCGTAATTTTTTTTTTATAAAAGAAGACTAAAAAATTTCTATTTAATTGTAAAATTATTTTACAAACATGAGGAAACAGTTTTTCGGAAATAAATTAAATTTTTTTATTGACAAATAGTTGCAAAAAATAAGTTTTTAAAAGTAATTGTTCGGAAAAATAGTTCGAGGAAAAGTTAGGAAAGTTCTTTCAAGGAAAAATATTTCAAAGAACAATAATTAGAAAGGAATTTGGAAAATAATTATTTACTCTAATTGTAATAATTTGAGTAAAAAAATCCAAAGAGAAAATAATTGAGGAAACAATTCAGGGAAAATTTACAAAAAAAAAAAAAATTATACTCCACAGGTGGAATCAAAATTAGGGGAATAAAAAGAAAATTAAATAAGAAAAATAAATATCAAGAAAATAAAAATGTTTAAAAATGTTAAAAAGAGGGAAAAAATTGAGAAAAAAAATTTTGGAAAAAGTTTATAAAAAATGTTTAGAAAAATGTTTAAAATAAAAATAAGGAAGAAAAGTGAGAAATGATAAAAATAAAGAAGAAAAGGGAGAATAATGCTTAGAATAAAAATTAAGAAAAAAAGTGAGAAATGAGAAAAATTTTTGAAAAAAAATTAAGAAAATATGTTTAGTAAAATGTTTAGAATAAAAATGAGGAAGAAATAAAAGAAATGAGAAAAATTTGAAAATTTTTACGAAAAAGTATGAGACACTTCACTTGTGAAGTCCAACTTCGTACAAAATTACGTTTCATTAACGCATTTCCTTTTCGGTCTCACCTGCAATTAACGAATAATACAAAGTGTTTCTTATACAATATATATATATATATATGATTCATATACTCAAGAAAGGGAAAAAAAAGAGCAAGAAAAAAAGCCTCGAGAAAAACATGATTTCGTTTCTCACCTGGTTTTACACTAAATTAAATGAGAAAAAAACATAGAAAATCACACCATTGCACAAATCTCATTTATAATTAATTGTCTTAGTTTTATTCCTCTTATCTTTTTACAGAAGTCATTAAAATTAAATGTATTTTTTATATACTTTTTATGTACAAGGACAAGTTTCGTTGTCCATCAGATTTTGCAATTTACAATATAGGTATAAAAATATCTTCCTCACAGACAATAATAATACAAACAATTCACTCACGATATTCATTAATTAAATTAACAAGTTTTTTTTGTTCGTTTTGATTAAACAGTTTTTTTCATTTCATTTTTTTTCTATAGTTTCGTTCATTAAATTTTTTTCTCTATTATTTTGTTCATTCAATTTTTTTTTCTATAATTTTGTTCATTTATTTTTTTAACTCTAATTTTTTTCATTTTTTTTTTTTTGTTTCTATAATTTTGTTCGTTAAATTTTTTACGTTCTACAAATTTGTTCATTAAATTTTCTCTACAAGTTCATTGAATTTTTTTCTAATAAGTTCATTCAATTCTATTCTAGAAATTTGTTGATTAAATTTTCTTCTATAATTCTATTCGATAATTTTTTTTCTAGTATTGTTCATTACATTTTTTTAAATTAATAAATTTTAAATTTCGATTTTTTTTCTATATAATTTTGTTGATTGAATTTTTTTTTTCTATAAATTTTTTCAATGAATTTTTTTTTTCATTAAACAATTTTTTTTATTATGTAATGAATTCGGAAATTAATAAAAAATTGAAAGACAATTTTAAATTACGTAATGTATACATAAAAATAAGAAGACTTATTTTTAATGTCAAGAGAGAATTTCTTGTTGTCATTTTTATGTATAATTCATAAATAAAAATCCCATTTGAGAAAGAATGAGAAAAAAATTTAATTAGTAGGGAAGAAATTTTTTGGGGGCAAATCACTTTCAAATCGAAAACTACTTCTTCTACTTATTCTTGATTCGGGTTTGAGAATTTTATTCTCATATTTCGGTGCTATTTTATTTTCCAATGGGGCATCTTCGGGTTGCTCTTTTTTCTCCTCCTCGTCCTTTGGGGCGATTTTATTTTCAAATTTTACAAATGTCGATCCTGGCCAACCGGGCCAGACAAATGGTGGTTCGTCAATTATTTCGTGAACCTCGTAAGTGTTGCCTTGAGCTAAAAAATTTTATGACAATTTTACTAAAAAATCTACTTCGATTTTAATTTTTAAATTTAGTAAACATTTTTTTTGTATTTGGAATTTTTTATTAATTGATATTTTAATTCTTCTTAATTAATTTTTGTAATCCAATTAATTGGTATCAATTTTTATTCGGTTTAATTCGTATTAATTTTTATTCAAATTAATTCGAATAAATTTTTTTCGAATATTACTTTTAATTCGTAACAACTTTTATTCGAATTATCATTATTCGAATTAATTCGTGTATCAACTTTTAATTGAATAATTTTTAAACCAAATAATTCCTATCAATTTTAATTCAAATTAATTTGTACCAATTTTTATTTTAATTAATTCGTATTAATTTTTATTCGAATTTATTCGTATCAATTTTTATTCGAATTAATTCGATTCAATTTTAATTCGAATTAATTAGTATCAATTTTTATTTACATTTATTGGATTCAATTTTAATTCGAATTAATTTTTACTTTCATTAATTAGATTCAATTTTGATTTGAATTAATTTTTAAATTTTTATTCGAATTAATTCGTATCAATTTTAATTCGACTTAGTTTTATTCGTATTAATTCGTATCAATTTTTATTCAAATTAATTTGTAGTCAATTTTTTGCTAATTAATTTGAATTTTAAATAAAAATTGATAGAAATTAGATAGATAAGAGTTATAATTAAAATTCTTTAGTACTAATTAAAAATTATTAATGATCTAATTCATAAACTTTAAATTATTGAATTTAAATTAAATTAAAATCTAATTAATTTGCAATTAATTGTATTCGTGAATTTAGTAAAATTAACAGAATAATAAATAAAATAAATAATAACAAAAAAAAGAAAAATTTCTTGGTTAAAGTTAATAAAACAGTAAAAAATTTGTCAACAAATAAATCGATTACGAAAATTGGAGCAAATTACCATGACTTCCATGAATGGGTCGACTGATATGTCCAATGTGACTCACGTGAGTGCCATGACCACCGAAATTTCCAAGACCATGACTTCCCGAAATTCCATAATGACCAACCAAATGATTATTCAATCCCAATTGTTCCTTTTTATGATAATATTTCTCCTTTTGAAATTGAAGTTTTTTTTTCCTCAATTCTTCTTTTTGCAATTTTTGAATTCTCATTTGCTCCTGTTTTTCCAATAATTTCTCCTTCTTTAATTTTTGTCTTTTTAATTTCTCCTCATGAATATCATGTCGCTTTTGTGGATTACGATTTTTCACTAATTTCTCCACAGCCTGCAGTGTGGTGATGGGAATCTGAAAAATAATTTTTTTCTTTCTTTAATAAATTTTAGACAAATTTATTTTTCAACAATTTTATTGTATTTATTTATTTATTTATATGTATTTATGTTTCTCTTATTTTTACTTTTTTACATTTATTTAATTTTCTTTTTTATTTTTGTATTTTTTTATAAAGAATAAAAATTTTTTCCAAGTAAATCGAGTTTTTCATTTTTTGAAAATAAATTGTTGCAAATTTTTTTTTTTTACAAATTTTTCTTATTTATTAATTTATTGAAAATTGAAATTAAAATGAATTTATTAAAAAACTAAAATAAATGAATGAAAACTTGTAAATGTTCGCAAATTTTTTTTTTCACAATTTTCTATAATATATTATAACAATATTTCATTACAAACAATAAAAATGTATTCCAAGTAAATCGAGAGATTTTCTTTCTTTCCTTTTTTCCACTGGAAATTACTTGTACAAAAGAAAAAAGAAAAGCAAAAAAATTTCTAAATCATTAGGCATATTAAATTAAATGACAAACAGAAAGTGAATGAAGCGTAATTCTCACCTTGAAGACATTATCGATGGTTTCACTATTTTCTGGTGAAAAAGCTTGAACGGCCGCGGCAGTTTGTTTAATGGCAGTAATTGGTATCTGTAAATTTTTATAATAATAAATTTCAAACGTCGAATGCGAAGTTAATTAAATAAAAGGTATTTTAGTTTACAAGAATAAATGCGGAGCAAAAAAAAAGAAAAGAAAAAAGAGGGAGAAAAGAGAAAAAAGAGAAGAAAAAAAAGAGAACCAAAGATAAGAATTAAATTAAAGAAAATTTTGCGAGTCTTAGGTTAATTAACTTACATTAAATACACTATCGATCACTGCCCCATTTTCTTGTGAAATACCAGTTTGACGCTTGAGCCTTGCACTGTCGACTATCTAAAAAAGGGAGGGTATTTTATTACACACATGTTACGATTCATTTCACGTGTGATGAATACACTTTTAAAAGAAATAAAAAAAAAAAAAAAAACAAGAAACAAGAAGTGTAAAAAAGAAAAACGCGCATCGCGCAATTTTTCGGTTACTATATATACAACACTTTCAACCAAATTTGGAGCAGGAGAATCTCGTAGGCCTTCAATATTCTGATGTATGTTTGTATGATGTTTGCTTTCACTCTCAATTCCTTTACATTTACAAGCAGATGATTACAATTTTTTTTTCCTCTCCTTTTCCCTTGCGAAAATTTGTAACAAGTTCACGTAATCAGATATAGGCGAAAAAAATTATTACACATAAACGAGTGTCATAAATGTTTTTTTTAAGTGTTTTAAGTTTTTGAGAAATTTTTTTAAGAGAAAAAACAAAAAAGTAAAAGGAGAAAAAACTAAAAATATGAATAAATAAAAAGAGGAAAAAAAGAAAAAAAGAAGATAAAAATGAAAAAGAAGAAGAAGAAAAAAGAATTTAAAAATAAGAAAATTATAATAAAACCGTAGATGGTTTTATAGGGTCCATTAATAGAAGGTAAACTAGGTACTTGAAAATAATGTGCCATAAAGACTGAATAAAAAAAAATGTTGTTCCTTTGCCTTTTTTGAAATTTGACATTATTCCAAGAAATCTGTACCATCTTTTTTGTATTCTTTTTAAATTATTTATTATTAACTGTTTTGCTTATCAGTTTTTTCGAAATTTTTTTTATTTTTTGTTTCTTTTGCTGTTTTTAATTTTTTCTTTACTTTCTTCCAATTATTTCTCTATATTTTATTTTCTTCTATTTTTATTCTTTTTTTCTGTTCTCTTTTTTTCCTTCTTTCCTTCATTTTCTTTTATTTTCTGTTCCCTTATATTTTTTATTTTCTATTTTCTTATTTCCTTTTATTTCGTATTTCCATCCATTTGGTGATTTTCTTCGATTTTTCATTTTCTTCTATTTTCTTATCGCCTTTTATTTTTTCCTATTTTCCTATTTCCTACTATTTTTTATTTCCTGCTATTCTTTTTATTTTCTTCCATTTTTTAAATTTTTTCTCTTTTTTTATTTCTTTTACTTTATCTTCTCTTTTTCTATTTTCTACTATTTTTTTATATTTTTTTATTTCCTTCAATTTCTTTTTTTATTTTTTGTGGAAGAAAAGTAGAATGAAGAAAATAGGGGAAAAAATAATAAAGAAATGCTAAAATGAAACAAAGAAGTGAAGATAAAAGAAAAGAAAAAATTTTAAAGGGATAAAAAATAAATGGAAATAATAAAATAGGAAAAAACAGAAGAAAGAAATGGTAGGAAATTAAAAGATGGGAAGAAATGAAAAAATAGAAAGAATTAAAAAAATTGTAAGGAAGTAATATAAAAAGAAGAAATAATAAAAATATAGGAAGAAATAAAAATTGGAGGAAATAAAAATAATCGAAGGAAATAAAAAATAGGAGAAAATAGGAAATAGAAAAAATAGGAAGGAAATAAAAAATGGGAGAAAATAAAAAATAGGAATAAAAAAATTAAACAAGGGCAACAAACGTGACAAATAAAAAATAGAAAGAAATAAAAACTAAAAAAAATAGGAGAGTATAGAAAAATAAGAAGAATTAAAAAATAGGACTAAAAAAATTGAAGGAGAGCAACAATCGTGAAAAATAAAAAATTCTAAGGAATAGAAAAATAGGAAAAAATAAAAAATAAAAAAATGGGAAGAAATAAAAAAAATTTAGGAAGAAAATAAAAAAATTGGAGAAAATAAAAAAAATAGGACTAAAAAAATGAAGAAGAGCAACAATCGAGATAATTAAAAAAAAAGGAAGAAATAAAAATTAAAAACACTAAAAGGCAATAAAAAAAGAGGAATAAAAAAATTGTAAAAGGGCAATAATCGAGAAAAATAGAAAATTTGAAGAAATAAAAAAACAAGGGAGAAATAAAAAATAAGAAGAAATAGAAAAAATAGGAGGAAATAAAAAATAAAAAATTTAGAAAAAAGCAAAAAAATAGAAAAAAAATAAAAAAATGAAAAAAAAATAAAAAATGAGTAAATAAAATTTTTTTTTCAGTAAATTGCTATTAAAATAAAAAAAAATTCTGCTCCTCATTCCTTCTTCGGGTGGTGGTAACACTTAAATGTTTAATAGGCAGTAGAGCATCGCTATTACGCAGGAATGAAAGTTAAGCAACGATAAGTGTTTTGTTGGCCCGCATTTCGGGATTCTCTCTCATGAATTCGCAAAAAAGACCTTGGAAGATTACAAAATGTTACATTATTTTTTCGGCTTCTCATTCACTACTGTTTTATTTTATATTCTTTTCTTTTTGTTTCCTTTTTTTTTTGCTTCTGTCTCATTTTTTTTCACCACCTCCTCTCTCGCAAAAAGCTAATGATTTGATAAATCTCAGCTCCGGCCACGAAATAAATAGGCCAATTAGATATACCAACGAAAAAACAATTAATTAATTCCATAAAAAGAGCGTACGTAACGTCTATTCCCCATGGCCTTGAATCTTATTATTTAAAATGAATTCCTTTTATTCTGACGAATTGAAGAAGCAAAAAAAAAAAGAGAAAAAAAACTCATCACGTCTAACATATCCAGGAAAAGGTATCACAACATGCATAATTAAAATGCGATGATGAAAGAAATGATTAAGGAGAAAAATATACCAAAAAAAATTATTAAACTAATTTAAATCAAATATAAATAGATTTAAAAATTTTTTGTTTATTTCAAATAAAAAAAATAATTTAAGAATAAAAAATAATTAAAGAATAAAAAATAAATAAAATGTACAAAAATATTTTTAAATTTCACCAATAATAATTACACTTATTTTTATTTTCATAATAATTGACAATGGAGTTGTCCAAAAAACTAAAAAAATTTTACTTAAAATTTAGAGAAGAATACAAAAAGGGAAAAAATATTTATTTTGTAAATAAAAAGAAAAACATCGAAATAGAGTTAAAAATTTCAAAAATTGACTGAAATTTTCAAAAAGAACAGAAAAGTTCAGAAAAATATATTTTCGAAAATTAAAAAATTCGGAAATCAAAAATCCGACGTGAAATATAAAAATACAAAAATGAAAAACATTTTTCCTACTAAAGAGAAAAATAGAGTAAAAAATAAAATTCTGACTTGAAATTTTAAGACGAGCGGAGAAATTAAGGAAATTTCATTTTGGGGAATTGAAAACAAACAGAAAATTGAAATTCCCACTTAAAATTTAGGAAAAATAAAATTTTTTTTTGTAATAAAAAGAAAATCACTGGAAATAGAGTCGGAAATGAAATTTTCAATGGAAATTTTAGAAAATATGGGAAAAGATCGGAAAATTCATTTTGGAAAATTAAAAATTCGGGAAATTTAAATTCTGACTTGAAATTATGAAAAAAATGAAAAGAATAAATAATTGATTTTTGCAAACGAAAAGAAACACGAGAAATAGAGTTAGAAATAAAAATCTTTACCTAAAGTTATTAAAAAGAGAAAAAAAAATTTTTTTAAATTAATTTTTGGAAAATTAAATAATTCAGAAATCAAAATTTCATTCTGAAAGTGTTAGAAAAATAAAAAACAATTTCGGTAAATAAAAAAAAAGAACTTGAAAATTCAGTCAGAAATAAAAAAACACTTATTTAAATTTTCAAAAAGAGTAGAAAAAGTCCTAAAAAATACAGAAATAAAATATTCGACCCGATATTTAAAAAAAAAGAGGAAAAAAGAAATATTTTCCGTAAATAAAATAAAAATCATGAGAAATAAAGTCAGAAATTAAATTTTAAAAATATGATATAAGATTAGAAAATTAATTTGGAAAATTAAAAAATTGATGAAATTTTTAGTCCCGTCCTCAAATTTCGAGAAAAAATAGAATGGATCTTTTTTTTGTAAATTAAAATAAAATTACCATAAATAAAGTGGGGAGTTAAAATTCTAACTTAAAGTTTTGGAAAGAGCAAAAAAAGTCAGAAAAATTAATTTTTGAAAATTAAAAAATACGGTAATGAAAGTTCCGACTTGAAAAGTCGAAAGAAAATAGAACATTTAAGTTTTTTTGTTTATAAAAAAATTATGGAAAATAAAGTAAGAAATGAAAAATCTGACTTAAAAACACAAAGTTCCGACCAGAAATTTAAAAAAAGTAGAATATAATTTTTTTTTAGAAATGAAAATAATGACAGAAAATTTAGTCGGAAATAAAAATTCTTTCTTCAAGTTCTTAAAAGGGGGGGGAATACATTTTTGGAAAATGAAATAATACGGAAATTCCGACCTGAAGTTTAGAAAACAATAGAATAGATTATTCTTTTTTTGTAAATAAAAAGAAAATCACGAGAATTGGAGTCAGAAATCAAAATTTTTGCTCAAAGTTGTAAAAATAGTGAAAAAATTTTAAAAAATTGAACTTTTAAAAAATTAATTATTATGGAAATCAATTTTTCGACCCTTAGTTTAGAAAAATAGAAAACACTTTCTGTAAATAAAAATAAAAAACATTCAAAGAGTCAGAAATCAAAATTCTAACTCAAATTTCAAAAAAGAGTAAAAAAGTTCTAGAAATAAAAATTCAAAAATTAAATTGTAGAAAAATTCGAAAAGTCCCAAAAAAAATTCTCTTCGAAACCTAGGAAAATACGGAAGTAGAGTTAGAAATGAAAATTTCGCCCAAATTTTTTCAAAAAATCTCGGGAAAAAAAAATATTTCCTCTTTAGAAATAAAAGAAGCAAAACAAATTCCACTCGATAGTTTTCTAAAACCAACCAAGTCAGAGAAAAAAAAAAGATAAACATAAAATCCAAATTAACGATTAAAGAAAAAAGCGTGGACAATAATTTAAACAAGAATATCTCGCAATTAATGTGAATTAAAACACAGTTTGCCATTAAAGATGATTTAAACTAGAATTACCATTAAAGATGATTTTAAAATAAAAGAAAGTTTAGAATTGAGACATAAACCTGGCAATAAAAGAAATAAGAAAGTGATAATTTTAGACACAAAAGAAAAACAAAAAAGCATTTTTTTTCTCCCACTATATATACAATATACGAATTGTTATATTCCTGATTTTTTTTTTTATTTTTGCAAAGCGTCTCCTTGAGGCGTTACAGCCAGTAAAACCTTGGAATGTAAATGATGCAAACAGATCATTGCAATCTTCTTTATTCATGCATGGAGTGTGTGCGCGGTAGACGATGATCTATTTTTAAGAGTGCGAAGATGCAAAAAAGAAAAAAAAATATTAATTCATTATACATATTTGTACAAATATCTCGTCTATATATTATACAATTGTATATAAAAATACACATATATGCATATCATTAAACTTTCTCCTCAAAAAGGATAGTATAGCATATATAGCAATGAACAAATAATATCTTATCTCGAAACCCGAGCATTATGGAATCAATTTACGACTGGACCAAAATTATTCATAAATCACTGCTTTATTTTCTTGCATAACTCGAAATCAATCTAAATTTTTTGAGACGAAAAAAAAATTACAAAATAGCTCTGTATATATGCAAATTCGATGACATAAACTGATGAGTGAGATTATGCCGTAGAGAATTTTAGAAAGAGAAGTTGAAAAAAATTTTTTTCTACTTTTTTAATTATATTCTCTAGAAAAAATTTCTTACCGAGAGTCTTCAAATTTTCAATTTTCATTCATTATTACTTTTACTTTTATTGTAAGTATTTTTTCAGATATTTTTCACTCGATGACAAAATGATTATTATGATTATTTCTATTTATAATTATTTTTACCCAGTTTTATTTTATTTTCTTTCTACTTCTTTTTATTTATTTATTTTTTATGTTTTTATCCCCTCTATTTTTTATTCTTATATTTATTTTTGTCTATTTCTATTTTTCCTATTTCTATTTTTCATTTTTCCTATTTTTTCTATTTCTAATTTTTCATTTTCTCTAGTTTTTTATTTTTATTTATTTTTCCTATTTCCGTTTTTATTTTCTCTAGTTTTTTTTTATTTTTATTAATTTTCCTATTTTCATTTTTTTTTATTTTTATTTACTTTTCATATTTCAATTTTTTATTTTCTCAATTTTTTAATTTTATTTATTGTTTTCTGTTTATTTTTTGATTTTTATTTTATTTTTCAAATATGAATCATTTTCAATTTTTAATATTGATTTGTTCTTCTTTTATTTGTATTCTAAACATTTTTTTGAAATATTTTTTACTCAAACTTATATTTCTGTCTATATTTAGTTTAAATCAATTTTTATTTTATTTTATTTTTTTTTTCTCTTTTATTTTTATTTTATTTTTGAAAAACGAGACATTTTCAATTTTTTTTTCATTCTTACTACATTATTTTTATTCAAAATATTTTTTTAAGATATTTTTTACTGAAGGATAAAAATTTTTTACTTTATTATGCTTATTTTTCATTTATATATTTACTTTTCCTCAATTAAATAAATAAATTTTTATTCTACTGCACTAATTTTAAAAATCTATTTATAATATAAATGGAACAATCAAATAAATAAATAAAAAATATTTTCAGTTTTCAATTTTGATTCATTCATACATTATTTGTATCCTAAATACTTTTTCCCGGTATTTTTTACTCCATGATAGAATTTTTTTAGAGAATAATTATTTTTATTTACATCTAGTTTTGCTAAATTTTTATTTACATTTATTTCTAGTGTCTACTCATATTTTAAAACCGAAACATTTTTAATTTTTATTTATTTTTGAATTATTTGTATTCTAATTTATTTTCCATTATTCTTTAAACTCAAAGATAATTTTTTTTTACAGAATGATTCTTTTTATTTACATTTATCTTTGCTCAATTTTTACTATAATTTCTTTTTACAAATTTTTTCAATATGAATAATTTTTAATTTTGCTTAATTCTTACTTATTTGCATTTTTAAACATTTTTTAAAAATATTTTTTACACAATAATATTTTATTACTTAATCACAAAATATTTTTATTATACTAATTATTTCAATCACGAATAATTTGCAATTTTTAATTTTGATTTTGTTCTCACATTATTTTTATTTTTAAACGTTTTTTTCTAAATATTTTTTTTACTTAAAAATAAAATTTGTTACTCAATGTTAAAATATTTTTACTTAATTTTAATTCACTCACTTTTCAAGTACGAATAATTTTCAATTTTGCTTCACTTTTACATTATTTTTATTATTTTATTATTTTTATGCGAAATATTTTTTTTTAGAAATTTTTTCATCAACGACAAAGTTTTTTTTACTCAACGACAAAATATTGTTATTATTTTATTATTTTACATTCATTTATTTAATAAATATTTTATTTATTTATTTATTTATTATTCATTTACTTATATTTATTATTAATTGTTTTATTTAGTTACTTGTTTATTTATTCACTTATTGATTATTAATTTTTCTTTAGTTATTTGTCTATTTATTTATTTCTTTATCCATTTAAATAATAAATTTCTACTCATTCTTCAGTTAAAAATTCGTCACTATCACCATTTTCCATCAATTTGTCATTCGAAAACTATTTTTTCCCAAATAATTAAAAAAAATAATAAAATAAATAAAAAATAAATAAAATAAAACAATCTCAACATAAAAATCAAAATAATTACCAGGTAAATTAATTATTAATAACGGATGTTCAGTAAAAAGAAAAAACATTAAAGTTCGAAGGCCAAGAGTCTCTATAATGTTTATGAACACTTTTTTTTTCTCCTAATAGCGACACTTTTTTTTTCTATACACCGCACCAGCATTTAGCGATAAATTTAGAAAACAATTAGTTACACTACACTTGAGGAGGCACTGCATTAAATTCAAAAAACAATTACGAAACATTGTTATTGTCACATTCTTATAGAAAAAAAAATGGAAAAAAAAAAAAAATGTTGTGCATTGTTTACCTTGTGTTTCAAAATAATCACTTTTAACCGACATCGTATCGTTTGACAGAGTGAATTGCTGTAACGATTTGTAGAAATTTTCATTGAATAGTGAATAATTTTCCATACCAAAGTCACTGGCAAATTGTTTCTCTGTTCGAATTTATTATCAACAATTTTTTTTTTCTTTTATTCTCATTTTGTTATCTCTATTATCTCTATTATTATTTCTATTCTCTCTATTTTTTTTGCACTTCCGTCTCAATTGTTTTTTTAAATTAATTTAAATTTTTTTTCTATTAAAAATTTTTTTGAATTTAATCATTTTTTTGTAATTAAATAATTTTTTATCTATTAAAAAAATGTTATGCTGTAATTAAAAATTTTTTTCCACTAAAAAATGTTCTCTAATTAAAACTTTTTCTCTATTAAAAAATCTTCTTCTCTAATTAAATTTTTTTCTCTATTAAGAAATTTTCTTTTCTAATTTTGTCTAATCTCTTTTTAAAAAAATTATTTCCCTCTTAAAAAGTTTCTTCTCTTATTTCTTTTCAAAAAAAAAATTTTTTCTCTATTCAAAAATGGTCTTTTGTAATTAAAATTTTGTTATTTGCAGAAATTTTCGCTTCCTCCTAGAGGAATAATTTTTATTCCTACTTTCAAATCTTTTGTATTTGGAGACGTTTTTCTTTGCAAATAATAAAGAAATAAAAAAAAATAGTTCCCCTTAGGAACTATTTTTATTTCCACTTTCAAATTTTTTGTATTTAGAGAATTTTTGCTTTAGAAAAATAATAAAAAAAAATAAAAGAAAAAAAAAATTTTTTTTTAATTCAAAAATATTTTTTAAAATAAAAAAAATTTTCTGCTGGTTAAAAGTGATTGAAAAATTTTTTTTTCTGTTTGGTAAAATAAAATGTGAAAAAAACTCACCCCAGATGAAAATATGGCAATTAATGCCAATAGTATTTTCAAATAAACCATTTCCAAAAAAAAAAAAAAATTAATTGCAATGAGAATTATTATATCACTAATTGAGAAACGCAATCGCCAAAAGCGATGCGACGATTGGCGCGCGGAACGAAGAACCTGTCTATAAGGGCTGGCAGAAACCAAGTCCCACGCTAACCCCTCCGTTCAATTCCCCGAGTTCTCCGATTGGATCCTCGATGAGAGAAGCTTTCTACAAGAACGATGCGGCGACGTGTATCTCCTTTAATTTTTTTTTAATTGTTTCAGCATTTTTTTCACGCCAGTTGAAAAGAGGCGTTGGTCGACCTCGTGTTTGTGTTTGTGTATGTGTGTTTGTTATATATGTTACATAAACGAAATGCAGCCCCCTCGAGCAATATTAAAACCACGCGTTCAATTCTCTTTGATATCATTCCACGCACTCAATGATGTCACACACATACAATATACAACGTATGGCTAATGAAAAATACTGACCTTTCTTTATAATCCTACCGAAAATAATTTAATTAATTCACTCTCGCTTTCGTCTTTGTATATCAAAAAAGAAACGAGTTTTATTTTTCCTCTTTCTTATTCTCTCGTCATGCACATAATATTTCCAGTTAACTTCTTGTCAATAAGATTCCTATATATACACATGGAAAAATAAATTGAAGAAAAAATTTTTTAATTTATCTATTTTCAGGTGGTGAAAAAAAATTTAATAAATAAATTAATAAAGTATAATTAATTCAATGTGAATGTAAATGAATTAAATTTATACACTGCAAGCAAATAAATAAAGTATACTCCATGCAAGTAAATAAATAAAATTTCTACGAATCGAGAGAATAAATATAAATTTACACGATTCGTGAGGAATAAATAAAAAATTTATACGATTTGAGTTAAAAATTAAAAAATGGACACGATTTGAGTGAATGAATTAAAAAATTTTACGATTTGAGTAAATAAATAGAAAAAAGTAACGATTTGAGTAAATAAATAAAAAAATAAAAACAATTTGAGTAAATAAATAAAAAAAAATAATTTAAATAAATAAAAAAGTTCAAAATTTTCAGTCACGATTTGAGAGAATAAATAAAAAAATAAGTCACGATTTGAGTCAATAAATAAAATATTTGTACGATTTGAGTAAATAAATAAAGAATTCATACAATTTGAGTCAATAAATAAAAAAAATTTTAACAATTCGAGTGAATAAATTAAAAAATAAATACGATTTAAATAAATAAAAAAATTACAAATTTACAGACACGATTTGAGAAAATAAATAAAAGAAAAATTAAACTCGATTTGAGTCAATAAATAAAAAAATTGTACGATTCGAGTGAATAAAAAAAAATAGACACGATTTGTGTAAATAAATAAAAAAATAGATATGATTTGAATTAAAAAAATTTTTAATTTACAGACACGATTTGAGAAAATAAATACAAAAATTAAACACAATTTGAGTCAATAAATAAAAAATTTGTACGATTCGAGTAAATCAATTAAAAATAGACTCGAGTTGAGTAAATAATAAAAAAATTCAGACGATTTTAGTAAATAAATTAACAATTTGTACGATTTGAGTCAATAAATAAAAAAATACGATTTGAGTAAATAAATGAAAAATTGGTAACGATTTGAGTAAATAAATAAAAAATTTGTACGATTTGAGTAAATAAATAAAAAATTTGCAGACACAATTTGAGAGAATAAATAAATAAAAAATTTGTAAGATTCGAGTAAATAAATAAAAAAATAGACTCTATTTGAGTAACTAAATAAAAAATTGGTAACGATTTGAGTAAATAAATTAAAAACTTGTAACGATTTGAGTAAATAAATAAAAAATTGGTAACGGTTTGAGTAAATAAATTAAAAACTTGTAACGATTTGAGTAAATAAATAAAAAATTGGTAACGATTTGAGTAAATAAATAAAAAATAGACACGATTTGAGTAAATAAATAAAAAATTTGCTGACAAAATTTGAGCAAAGAAATAAAAAAACAAGACACGATTTGAATAAATAAAAAAAAATCATAGGCGATTCGAATAAATACATAAAAAATTTCAGCGACTCGAGTAAATAAATAAAAGAAAATTTAAACGATTCGTATAAATAAATTGACTAATTTCGATGAGAATGAAACTTATACGATGCAAGTAAATGAAATTTATATTTTTTTTCCATATCAGATAGAAGATTTTTCCGTAGACAAGTGTTTTATATGAGAAAAAGATTTAAACATAGATTTCTTTGTAATACAATGCATTTTTTCTCTCGCATAAAGAGTTTTAAATGCACTGTGAAAAAGAATTCCTCGATAAAAACAGAAATATTTGTTTAAATTTAATTTATTTAATTGCATTCTCTGAAAAAGTAAAATTATTTTTAGTAGTTTATTATTATTAACTTAAGTTTTAGTTTATTTCAAAAATAATGTTTTTTTCATTGTTTCTTTATAAATTTACATAGAATTTGTTGACTGATAAGTTTTTTTTATCTTTGGCAACTTTTTTTTTAAAGAAAATTTATTCGATAACAAATTTTTCTTATTCAACAATATTTTGTTATAAACAAAATTTATTTCTTACAAAATTTTTCGTACTAAAGAATATTTTGTTGTAAACAAAATTTATTATCTAAAAAAGTTTTCTTATTTCGAGATGATTTTGTTATAAACAAAATTTATTTTCTAAGAAAATTTTCTTAATTCAAGAATATTTTGTTATAAACAAAATTTATTCTCTAAACAAATTTTCTTTTTCAAGAATATTTTGTTATAAACAAAATTTATTCTCTAAACAAATTTTCTTTTTCAAGAATATTTTGTTATAAACAAAATTTATTCTCTAAACAAATTTTCTTTTTCAAGAATATTTTGTTATAAACAAAATTTATTCTCTAAACAATTTTTCTTATTCAAGAATATTTTGTTATGAACAAAATTTATTCTCTAAACAAATTTTTTTTATTTCTCAATTTTTTGTTAAATAATATTTGTTTAGTATTTGTTTATTTAAATATGTTAATAAAGTATTTGTTTTTTGAATCCTTTTTCTTTAAAAAACTAGAAAAAGTTTTGTTACGTAAACTGCTATAAATTTAAACAAATGTTTTTTTAAACAAATATCTTGGGGATTTAAATAAATTTAAACAAAATAAATGAAAAAATTAAATAGATGTTATTAAATTGTTGCGATATGAAAAATAAATTTAAACAATATTTACTTTGGTTTATTTAAATAAATTTTGCCACTTGAAACAAATTTGGTTTGAATAAACAAATGATACAATTTTTTTTCTATTCGGTTTAAATAATTTTTATCGATTTAAATAAAATATTATTTAAATAATCAATTTTCATTAATTTAAACAAACTTTTTTTAGTTTCAAAAAATGTTTATCCTGTAAATGAACAAATAGAATTAAAACAATAAAATAAACAAAACAAAAAATAAATAAATAAAACCAAAAGAGTAAAAAAATCCTGAAAGAAAAAATAATAATTAAAAATCAATAAATAAATAATTATTTATTAATGCATAAACAAATAAAATAAACAAACTAAATGAGTAAAATAAAACCTGAAAGAAAAACGCAATAATTAAAAAACCACATATAAATAATTATTTGTTAATAAATAAACAACAAAAAATTTTACCTAAAATAAATGAACAAATAAAATAAAAAAATTAAAAGAATAAAATGAATAAAATAAAAGAGTGAAAAAAATCCTGAAAGAAAAGCACAATAATTACAAATCAATAAATTAATAAATACAATGATGAATACAAAATTTAAAAATAAAAACAATTATAAAAATACAAAATAACCTCGTGCAAAGAATGAGTAAGAAGCTGATGATGAAACTAAAAATCACACTGGCATTTAAATATGAATTTAGTAAAAAAAAAAAAATCACAAACTTATTTTATCGAGAATCATTAATTAATATCCTTAATAATTCTTTATTAATACTTGAGCGATAATTAACAACGATGACTTTAAAGTGAAAAGCAACAAATTAGAATCATAATTAATTGTAATTTGAGGTCAAAGAAAGCAGCCACTGATTTTCCTTTCATTTAATAATATAAACACACACTGACTAATACCATAAAAATATATGAATCAATAACAAAAATTGATTGATATAATGTAATTATTATTGTATAATTATATATTGTTTATCATATAATTATATTTCAAAGTTCAACACTCGATTTTGAAATTTAGTGATTTGTATATTCAATATTTCTCACACTATTCATATAATTTTCTGATGCATTCTTCAGTTTCTTCATATATTTTTCTAATTTTCATATAAAAACAATAAACTAAATGGAAAGTGCAATATTTTTCCAAGACTCAGAAAATTATTTTCATATAATATGTACAAAATAAACATTTTACCTCTTTTTGAGTGTTTATAGGGGGGAAAAAAATATAAGTTTACTCACAGAAAACCAGCTTTATTAAAAACCTCTCCCAAGTAATAATTGTATATTGCAACATTACTTGTGACTAATTTATATAAAGTCTTATTTCATTAAACATGATATGTATATATATTTTCCAGACAAGAAAAAAGAAGAGAGAGAGAGAGAGAGAGAGAAAAAATCGCACAAGTGAAATAAATTTCAAATATATAGAGTTTTTAGTTCAATGAGATAATAGATTCTCTGTTGTATATAATGACGTGATTAATTTCACCTCAGGGTTAATTGAAGAAAAATCAATTGCAGATGTTTGTTACTGAATTGAATGAAAGAAGAAAAAAAAAATGCAGGATCCAGTGTGATATATAGATATAATGATGTTAAAAGCAGCTGCATTTTCGTCCTTGACGAAATCGTTAGTCGAAATAAATCACACTATATAGTGATTTCTAGTCAGAAATAAAATACTTTCACTATTGCTGACCTTACGTGGTATGGTGTAGTTCCATGCTAAATATACGCATCTCTGACCAGTGAAAGGAATACGAATTTTCTTTCGGGTGTTACGATTTTTGTTTTATTAATCACTCATCGCTTGTTTCTTTCTTTCTCTTTTTTTTTTTTTTGGAGAAACATAAAATTGGATCACTTTCCAAATTGCAAAAGCTGATCAAAATTTTTCGATAAAAGAAAGTTTTGTTTGTTGAACGAAAAATGTCAAAATCTCTCTTTTTTCTGTCTCTGAAAAATTTTAACAGTTTTACATTTTTCCTGTGGTCTCAAATTTTCTACTCTTCAATTTTTCTCTCCCTCTCTCTCTTATTTTTTTCCGGTTTTTTTCTATTTTTTTTTATTCTCTCCAATTTTTATTTTTTCTATTCAAATTTCTCATGACTTAAAATTTTTTACTCTTCAATTTTTCCCTTATTCTATTATTTTTCTGTTCAAATTTTCCCTTATCTACAATTTTCTACAAAAAATTTTTCCTGACCTACATTTTTCTTCTCTTTTATTTCATTCTGTTTTTCTCCATTTTTTGGATTCTCTATTATTTCTATTTTTTTATCTCCTTTTTTATTTTTTCTACATTTTTCTGTTGAAATTTTTTCTGACATCAAATTTTTTACTCTTCATTTTTCTACTATTACCCTTTTCTACTATTTTTTCATTTCAAAACTTTTCCTGACTTAAAACTTTTTATATTATTTTTCAGTTCAAATTTTCTCTTATCTACAATTTCTACAAAAAATTTTTCCTGACCTACATTTTTCTTCTCTTTTATTTTATTCTGTTTTTCTCCATTTTTTGGATTCTCTCTGTTTTTTCTACTTTTTTATCTACTTTTTTATTTTTTCTACATTTTCCTATTGAAATTTTTCTGATAAATTTTTTTTTCTATTTTTTATCTACTTTTTTTATTTTTTCTACTTTTTTCTATTAAAAATTTTTCTGACCTAAAACATTCTACTCTTCAATTTTTTCCCTTTCTCTTAGTTTTTCTGTTTAAATTTGTTCTGGATCTAACATTTTCTAATTTTTAATTTTTCTTCTATCATTAATTTTTTTTTACTCAAATTTTTCCTGATCTAAGATTATCTTTTCAACACTAATCAAAATTTTTTCCGGATCTAAAATTTTCTACCCCTTAATTTACCAACTTTCTTTTATGTTTTTCTTATCAAATTTTTTTAGACCTAAAATTTTTTACTCTTTAATTTTTCTCCTGCCTTTAATTTTCTACTATTAAAGAGTACTCCTATTAAAATTTACTACTCTTCAACTTTTATCTCCCTCTTTTCTATTTTTCTATTCAATTTTTTCTTGAACTAAAATTTTCTTCTCTTCAATTTTTCTTAACTTTATTATTTGATTTCTACATTTTTCAATTTGTTTTCTATTTTTTAGCTACTTTTTAAATTTTTTTCTATATCAAAATTTTCTACTCCTATTATTCCTACCTTTTTTTATTTCTTTTATTCAAAATTTTCCAAGAATTAAAATTTCCTACTCTTCAATTTTTTTTTACTGGAAATTTTTTCTGATCTAAAATTTTCGAATGTTTAATTTTTCAACTCTCTTTTATTGTTTTCTATTCAAATTTTTTCTGGTGTCGAATTTTCTACTCTACAATTTACAACTCTATTTAATTTTTTTCCTGTTTTTCCTACTTTTTTCTATTCTTTCATCTTTTCTTAATTTACTATTTCCTTTTTTTTCTACTATTTTCTACTTTTCATCTATTTTTTCTTCTTCATTCTTCCATTTAATGTTTCACATTCTTTTCTGTTTTTTCTACTTTTATTTATTCTTTTTTACTTGAGCCTCTTTTTTTATCTACTTTTCTATTTTTTTCTACTTTTTAAAATTTTTTATCTATTCCTTTCCATTTTTTTTCTTTTTATTCTTCTTTTTGACGCTTTCCTCTTCTTTTTTTAAAATTTTTGTATTTCTTGTATTTCTTGATTTTTATATTTATTTATTTATTTTTGTATTTCTTGTATTTATTTATTCATTTTTGTATTTCTTGTATTTTTTCTCAGAGAATAAAGAAAAGAATAAAAAGCAAGAAAATGAAATGAAGAAGTAAGTTGAAATAAGTAAAAAAAAAATAAAATAAAAATAGAAAAGTAGATAATTTTTCTTCATTTCTTTTATATTCAAATTTTGATAAAATTATATTTATACATTTTTCAAATAAAATATAGTCATTTCTTTATGAAATATAGCAATCGTTTAGTGGTAGTTTTTTTTGTGTTAAAAATATAAATACTGGAGAGAAATTCTTAATGAAGCAATCAGTAATTGACTTGGCCTTATTTTATTAGTATTAACTTCTTACTAATTTGGAAGTAGAGAGTAAGCAGGCAAATGTTTCGCTTCTTTTAATGTGTGTAAAAACTACATTCTTTTTAAATTTCGCGATAAAGTACCTCTAAAAGGAATTTGATTCTAATTGACGAAAAAATGCACTCCCAATTAAATAACGATAATAATTTGACAAAAATTTTAAAATTAAATTCTCTATTTGAATTTTTAGAATTTTGTTATTTATTTAAAAAAAATTTATTTTATATAAACGTCTATATTTTTACAGAAAAGTTTATTTTACAGAAAAATTTCTTTTTTACAAAATTTTATTTTACAGACAAGTTTATTTTACATATTTTAATTTTCATCTTCTTCTTTTTTTTATAAAAAAAATAAAATAAAAACAAAAAGGAAGTTTTCATTATTCTCACAAAAAACTGTTTTATTGCGATAAAAGCAAAAATACTATTTTGGCTCAAAAGGTTTGTTTTCGTTACATAATTTTTTTTCTAAATAAAAATGATTTATCTAACACAAAAAAAATAGAAGAATTCTCTATAAAGAATTTGCATATAAAACAATAAGCGATCTAGATTTCTAATGTTTCCAGTCATTATTTATGTACATTATAAATACAGTAAAACGCATCGATCATTTTCTGCTATTTTGAGCACTAAGTAATTTGTTATAAGTTAAATGCAATCTATTGTGTAATTACGGAAAAGAATAACTTAATAAATATACTTCATAAATATCAAACTCTGTAAATAAAGAAAAATTAGATTGAATTTTTTTTTTTTTTGCGCAAACTGCAATTGTTCATATTTTTTTTCTACTCCCATTATTATCAGGAAGTATTCTATATTTTTTTAATTTTTAATAAAAAAAAAATAATTCTTGATTATTTTAAAATAATAATTTTTAATTAAATTAATTTTTAATTTAATTAATTTATAAAAAAAATTTAATCAATCGAATTTTTCTTATCGTCAATCAAACATTAATTCACAAGTTCTTTGGCCATCTTCGTTAAGAAAAAAAAAAACAGAAATTTAATTTAAAAAAAAAATTTTACTGACTTGGCTGTTAATATGGCAACACACACTTTTTGATTTTGTTTTGCACTAGGGGAAAAAGCACTCTTTTTTTCCACAAACTTTTTTTTTTTTTTGCACTTGGAAAGTTTTCTTCAATAGGCATCGGGATTATCTTTGAGATTCATACCAATTTGATTTCCAAGATCGTGTCGAAATTCATTTATTGACACTTTCGATTGCTGCAAAAAATAAATGAAAAATTATTTTATGTTAATTTCTATATATGATTCTTTAAATTCTCTTTTTTGAAAATTTAAAAAAATATCTTACATTTATAGCATCTTTCCATTCGATATTAAAAAGTCGAACGAGACCCTTAACATTACGTCGAATAAGTCCTTGTAAAAATGATCTTGTTAGGACAAAAGGTGCTGGAGTTGTTGTGGCATTAGTGTCACTTGTCGAATTTTCAGTGAGACTTTTTTCCGTTGTTGTTAATACAATCATACCAGAACCTGGTTTTTTTGTTGTTGGATCTGGTTGAATGCCATTGCTAATTAGATCTGATATTTGACTAATTGCCGAACGAGTTTCATTCACCGACTGAAAGATTAAGCTCTTGAATTATTTTTTCTTAATTTTCAATCTATTCATAATTTTTTTTTTATTATTCTTTCTTTTTTCTTGTTATTTTCTTATTCTATTTTTTATTTTTTCCTTTTTTTGTTATTAACTAGTTATTAACATAAAATGAAATAAAATAATACAACATAGAAAATAAAAAATTAAACACAGACATAAAATAGAGCATAAAACATAAAACATTAAAAAACGGAAGTAAAACAGGCCAAAAGTAGAATATAGCGAAATAAAAATAGAATAGAACACAGGAAATAAAAAATTAAACAAAAGAAAAACAAAATAGAGCATAGAACATAGAAAATTAAAATTTTAACCTGAACATAAAATACAACAGAGAACATAATAATAGAAACACAACATAGAAGTCAAAAACATAAAGAATAAAAAAAATAAAATAGAACATAGAACATAGAAAACAAAACATAAAGAACAAAAAAAATAATCTTAAAAAAAGGAATTAGAAAATAAATCATAAAGCACAAATAATAAGCAAAATAGAACATTGAGCATAGAAAATAAAACAAAGAACGAAAAATAAGCAAAATTGAACATAGAACATAGAAAATAAAACACAAATTTTCTAAGGATATCAAATTGAGACAAAAAGCGTATCAAAATTGTTGCGAAGCAACGTTTTGATACACCTTTTGTCTCAATTTGATATCCTTAGAAAATCTGTGAATATAAAGAACAAAAAAAATAAGCATAGAAAGTAAAAATAAAAAATAAAAATAAAAATAAAAAAAAAATAAAAAAAATAAAAATAACAAAAAAAAAAATTGAAATATAAAAATAAAAAAAAAAGAACGCAGCATAAGAAAAATGTGCGAGAAAAATACAAAATTGCAAAAAAAAAAAAAAATATTCTACAAGTGAATGACATTCAACAAGAAGAAAGTTAGTTAAATAATAATGAATCAAATGATATTTCAGGTAAAGGAATGTACACAATTCCGGTTCAAATATCATTCAAGGTGGTAGCCTTCGAAAGAGGAGATCAACGTTGGAGGGTTCGATTCCCACTTTGAAATTTTTGCAAGGTTAAAATAAGAGAGAAAAAAAACCCCCTGCGAGGTCAGTCATGTATATTTATATATTTATAGTAAAAAGAAAGGGAATTAATCAGGTTTTGAATCTCTTCCGGAAAAATTTTCTTGTCTCCTTTGTAGCAATTTTCCAGACTACGACCTTGTTGTCATTAGTGACTAACATTCACATATAGATATTTATTTCGACTCCTGTACAGTATACTACCAAATGAACAGCTACGCTCTGATGAAAAAATACCGCAAGGCGTTTTACCTAATTAACATTTTATTTTCACATTTTATGCGAAAAAATTGTTCTACAAATATTTTTCCTTCTTTTATTTATTCATTTTTATTACAAAAACACTACTAATTATTGCTAGTCAAAATTAAATAGTTAAAATTTTTTATTAAATAATTGTTTACTTTTTTTATTCAATATAAATAAACAAAAAATTATTTTCAATATAATTACTAAATAATAAATAAATATTTATAATGTAATTACTAAATAATTATTTAGAATGTAATTACTAAGCAATTATTTATAATGTAATTACTAAGCAATTATTTATAATGTAATTACTAAGTAATAATTTATAATATAATAAATAAATAATTATTTGAAATATGATAAATATTTCGATTAAAAATTTATCGATGATTTTTAGAAAAACATAAATGTAGTTACGTTTTGCGAAAATTTGCCCTAAATTGTTATTTAATTCTTTTATTTATTATTCATAAAAATTAATCGATTATTGTTAGTAAAAAATTGAACTGTTTTGAAAATTTGGTTTTGAAAAACTTTTGAAAAATTTCCATTAAATAATTATTTACATTTTTCATTTACATTATATTATTAAAAATATTTTCATCATTTGGAGTTAAAAATTAAATAATTATATGTTTTGAAATATTTTTTATTAAAATTATATACTCTTTCTAGGTATTTGATAAACCAATAGATAAATAATTCATTTTATTAAACAAACATTCATATTTTTTAGTAAAAATTTGATCGTTACGTTTTTCAAAGTTTTTTATTAAATAATTATTTACAATTTTAATTGTATAAAAAAAGTAAATAAGCACTAAATAATTATTTATTTTAATATTGTATAAAGAAATAAGTAAATAAATTTTATTTTTATTAAAAATTTTTCAATTATTTTTAGCAAAAAATAAATCGTTAAATTTTGCTAAAATAATTATTTACTATTTTTGTTATATATAAAGAAATTAATAAATTTTTCTATCATTTTTAGTAGAAATTAAATCGTTACGTTTTGCAAAATTTTTTATTAAATAATTATTGGCACTAAATACATTATATTAATTATTAAAAGATTATTAAAAATAAATTAAATAAATAAATTGACACTAAATAATTATTTTTTTTATCCTATAATAAAAATAGGTAAATAAATTATTTTTATTAAAAAATTTTTCACTTATTTTTAAGAAAAAATAAATAGTTAAACATTTTGCAAAAATTTACAATTAAAAATAATTATTTACTATTTTTGTTATATGAATAAATAAACAAATTTATTGGTCATTTTTAGTAAAAATTAAATCGTTACGTTTTGCAAAATTTTTTATTAAATAATTATTTACATTTTAAATTGTATAAAGAAAAAAGAAAAAAAAAAAAGAAAAAATAAATAGTTAAACATTTTGCAAAAATTTATTCTAAAAATAATTATTTACTATTTTTGTTATATAAATAAATAAAAAATTTATCGATCATTTTAATTAAAAATTAAATCGTTACGATTTGCAAAATTTATTATTAAATAATTATTTACATTTTAAATTGTATAAGGAAAAGTAAATTGGCACTAAATAATTATTTTTCTTATCGTATAAAGAAATAAGTAAATAAATTTTTTTTTTGTTATAAATTTTTCAATCATTTTTAGCAAAAAATAAAGTTACATTTTGCGAAAATTGTTATTAAAAAAAAACGTAACCAAAAATGAAAAATGGATAAAAAAATTTCAATTATAGAAAGAAATTCAATACAAACAATTTTTTTTTCACATAAAATTATTACATAAAATTGTAAAGTGAAATAATTTCAAAAATATTTGCGATCTTTTTTCCTCATTCTCGAGTTTTTAAAAGAAGGAAAAGGAACATTGATGGTACCCATTTAATGATGAGTTATGTGACGTTAATATTTTTAATGACAGTGAAATAATATGATATAAAAATGAGAGTACCGGAAGTGTGAATTTTTAAAGCTCAATCTAATGAACATCATAATTTCTAATTTATATTTGAAGCTTATAATTATTAATGCATAAAAGCAATGTTTTCCGCGTACAAAATATATAAATACATATATATATAATATAAAAATAAAATATTCTTTGTAAATTTCTTTTTTCAAACAACAAACCTCAAAGGCAACTCTAAACAAGGTCCATAAAATTCCAGGTCTTTGTTTCTGAGTTTGTCTAGCCACTCGTCTAATTTCTTCCTGAGAAAGAACATTTCCCAATGATGATAATGATGATGATGGTGATGATGATGATATTTTATCGTTCAATGAACTTCCCGCCTTAATGTACTCGGAATTATTTTCTTTCATAGACAAAGAATTGTTGTTTACAGTTTTTCTCAATTCAACTTTCATGTTGTCAAGTTCACGGAAATAATTTAATTGAGGCGCAGCATTCTTTTCTTTCGACAAATCTTTATGTGTTTTGTAACTTTTATCGTTCACGTAATAATTATAATATAAATCCGAGGATACAGCTTCACTTGGCCGATAATCATTATAATTATTATTACGTGCCTTTAACTTCGAGTGCTCTGAATTCACTGAAATTTTATACCTATAATTATTAGGATAATTCCCCCCGGCTGGTGGATGATTTTTTTCAAAAAAATTTCCATTGTTTTCACTTGAAATCATATATCCGGGTTGTTTTCTTTCTATTTTCAATTTATCATTTAACGATAAAATATCATTAGCCACAATTTTCCTGTACAGCAGAGTATTTAACACTAGCCAAATTATGCCAATTACCAGATTCATCTGGAAAATTAATTTAAAGTCAAATTTATTAATTAAAAATTCCCTTTTAACTCAAATGCGTTAAATTAAAATTAACTATATATATAATTACTACACAAATTATTATCAAATAAAAAAAAGAAAAGAAAAAAAAACTATAATATTATTATATTATTATTAACTATAATATTAACTATCAGCTTCTGTTTTTTTTTTCTTTAAAAAATATTTTTTTGACACATTGAAAATATGCAGTTATTTCTTTATGATTTAAAAATAAAATAATATTAGAAATTAGAAAATTCAAAAACAAATTATGAATTTTTAAAAAAATATACCCATTTTGTTTATTAAATGATTGTTTTCAAAGACAAATTTCGTTTGACTGATATAAATTACACAAATTTTTTTTTCTTTTTAATTATAAAAAATATTAGAAAATTGTTAATTTTTCAAAAAATCCATTCTTTCCTTTTGGGGAAAAAAAACATAAGATATTCCCGTCTCTTAATATTTATGTAGAAAATTTTCAATTTTCATAAGAAAATAATAGCATTAATTTTATTTACTAATTACAATTTTCTTAAGAATGGAAAAAAATGTTTATAAATTCTATTTGTCAATTACAAATTTTAATTGAAAATGAAATTAAAAATCAAATTGAAAATCAATTTGAAAATAACAATTTTTGAATTTTTATAGAAAATAAAGGAAAAAATTTTACTCAAAAAAAAAAAAAAAAAAACTACAGAATTGTCAGTCAAAAGAATGAAAAATTTAATTTTTATTACAAAAATTCTACGAGAATTCAATTATTTAATAATAAAAATAAATAATTTATTGAATAATATTGAATTCTTTTGACGAATTTTAATAAAAATTTTAAGAATAATTATACATTTTTCGAGGAATTCATTTAAAATTATTGTATTAAAAATAATTGAAATCCTATACGATGAATTTTATTAGTTATAAAAATAATTGAATTTTTGCAACGAATTTTATTTAAATTTTTCAAAAATAATTGAATTTCTGAGAAAAGTTTAATTATTATTTATAAAGATAATTGAAATGTTGACGAGGATTTAAAAAATTTTTTGAACATAATTATTGAATTTCTGCGAAGAATTTTATTCTTTTGAAAATAATTCAATTTCAATCATTTATTTAATTCAATAAAACTTTTTCAAAAAAATTAATCCTTAAAAGTATGAAAAATTTAAATTGTCAAAGATTTCAATTTAAAAGCTTTTCAAAATTCAATTATTTCTCAAAAAAAAAACACACTATAATGCTTTGAATATTCTATTGTAATCTAAAAAATTAACTGAAATTAATTTTTAAATTAATTTTTCTTAGAAAATTTAACGAGAAATCAATTATTTAAATAGATACAAAAATAAATAATTTATTGAATAATTAAATATTTCTTAAAATTGAATTCTCATAAAGAATTTTATCAACGAACTTTGAAATAATTAAATTCCTTTGATAAATTTTGATAAAAAATTTTTTTTTTATGAATAATTACAAATTTTTGAGGAATTCGATTAAAATTGTATTAAAAATAATTGAAATTCTGCTATGACTTTTATTATTTATGAAAATAATTGAATTATTGCAAAAAAATTTATAATTTGTAAATAATTGAATTCCTGTGAAATTTTTATTATTTATGAAAATATTTAAATGTTTGCATATAATTTTATTAATTTTTTTTTTTTAATAATTGAATTCTTTTGGAGAATTTTATTAAAATAGTAGATATTGAAAATTATTGAATTAAGGAAAATTTTTGAAAATAATTGAAATGTTGCCCAGAATTTTGTTAACATTTCTGAAAATAATTGAATTTCAGAAAATAATTTTATTATTTATATTTATAAAAGAAAATTGAAATTTTGACGAGTTTAAACAATTTTTGAACATAATTGAATTTCTACGAAGAATCTTATTACTTTTGAAAATAATTGAAAATAATTGACTTTCTTCAATCATTTGTTCAATTTAATTAAAATTTTTCAAAAAAATTAATTCTGTACAATTATTAGTTGAAATTTTAAAAAATTCAAATTTTCAAAGATTTTAATTTAAAACCTTTTCAATTATTTCTAATAAAAAATCACACTATAATGCTTTTAATATTCAATTATTATCTACAATTTTAACCGTAATTTATTTTTAAATAAATTTTTATGAGAAAATTCTACGAGAATTCATTTATATAATTAAAAAAAATTAATTTATTGATTATTTGAATGTTTCTGAAAATTTAATTCTCATAAAGAATTTTATCAACAAATTTGTAAATAATTGCGAATTATTTTGACGATTTTTAATAAAATTTTTAAGAATAATTACATTTTTCGAGAAATTCGATTAAAATTGTATTAAAAATAATTAAAATTCTGCGATGATTTTTATTATTTACGAAAATGATTAAATTTCTAAAAAGAATTTTATTATTTAAGAAAATAATTGAATCCCTGTAAAAAATTTTATTTATAAAAATAATTGAATTATTGTGAAGAAATTGATAAAAAATTTGTTAATTGAATTCCTGTGAAATTTTTATTATTTTTGAAAATAATTTAATGTTTGCGTAAAATTTTATCACGTATTAAAAATTAATAATAGAAAAATTGTTAAATATATAAATCTATTTTCAATATAAAAAATACGATTCTGACTATATATTTATTTATATTTTTATTTATTTAGGTTCAAACGAGTTCTAAAAGTATAACATTACTATTATCGAAAATAGTAAATTCGTTATTGGATAAAATTTCCCTCTCGTTGTAGCAATGCTCTCGCGGTCAAAGCACAAGATATCCCTCGGACATATAGATTAACTAATAATCAATTTTTTTTCCTATTCAATTTTTCAAACAGATTAGCGAAAGTCTATAAATTTTTAAAAAAGGTCATCGTTATGTAAGATATCCTAATTGGGTTTGAAATGAAAGTCTATCCTCGAGTCTAGGATCTTCGAATGTTAAAATGCCTTTAAAATATCAAGATAACAATTACCTGTGATTTAAAGCATCTTTTATTATTCTCTCCTTCTCTCTTTCTTTATTTTTAGGACCTTTAGGCATACTATTAATTCAACTCACGTATAAATCTACTTACTCTTAGTCTCACTATTGGCAAATAAGTACCAGTTAAAGATGTCAGTTCTTGAAATATTTCTCCCCATTTAGATTTGCTAATCTTTAATCGTAATAAACTGAAAAAAAAGTGTCTAAGATTTCAAGCTAGCCAATTCAATTCACGTTTCGATTTCTTGACCAATTTTTTGTTGCTGATAAAACTTGTTTTGCGTTTTCGAGGAAATATTTTATTTCGTGATTTTAGGAGGAAAATTATTTCTTAGAAGAAAAACGTCTTCGTTTTATTATAAATTTAATGTTAATTAATGTTAATGTTAATTTTTAATTATTTTTTATGAAAATAATTGAATTCCTCAAAAAAAATTTTGAGGATAATTGAATTTTTGCGAAGGAATTTATAAAAAATTTTTAAATAATTGAAATTCTGAGAAATTTTTTATTATTTATGAAAATAAAATTAAATATTATTTTTGGGAATTTGAAATTAATCTGAAAATATAATTGAAATTTGGGGAAGAATTTTGTTATTTATATAAAGATAATTGGAATTTTGACGAAAATTTTTTTAAAATTTGAAAGATAATTGAATTTTATGAGAAGAATTTTATCACTCTTGAAAATAATTGAATTTCTGCAAAATTTTGTAATTTTTTCCAAAATTGGATTTTTTTAGTGTTTTAAACAAAAATTTGAATTACAAATTTTTAAATTCTATTATTTAAAAATTTGCTACGATTATTCAAAAATTTAATTCAGATGAGACAAATTTTTTCATTCCTTCGTAAGATAAATTGTTGCATTTCACAAAATTAAGAATTTAATTGATTTTATTTAAATTGATTATTATTCGAACTTTAAAAATTATTACTACGATTATTTCAAAATTTAATTCACAGAATTAAGAATTTAATTGATTATTATTTGAATTTAAAAAATTATTGCTACGATTATTACAAAATTTAATTCGGATGAGACAAATTTTTTCATTCCTTCGGAAGACAAAATTGTTGCAATTCCCAAAATTAGGGATTTAATTGATTTATTTTTAATTGATTATTATTTGAATTTTAAAAATTATTGCTACGATTATTACAAAATTTAATTCAGATGAGACAAATTTTTTCATTTCTTCGGAAGATAAATTCCTAATGAATTTCATTTAATTTATTGATTTTTTATCGATTAAATAATTGTAATAATTTTTTATTTTACTCTTTAGTGTAAATTTATTTCGCTATTTTTTTATTTGCTTTTTTATTAACTTGTTTCTCGAAATATTCAATTTTCTTTATTTTAACAACTTTTTTTAAAGCCGATTGCTTTGAATTTTTAAATTTATAATAATTTTCGTAACTGAGTTAGCTATTTGATACTTAATAGCGATAGTTTTATTTGATTTTATATTTTAAATTTTATTTGATCCCTATACGGATTTGATGCTCAAGAAATATAATAATTTCTAATATTTAGGTCAAAATTTAATTAATCAAATTAATTATACCTAATATTTAGGAATTTTTAATTTTTTAAATTTCAACTTAATATTTTCTTTGTCCCTAAGAATATTTATTTTTATTCAAGACTTTTAAGATATAGTCAAAAATAAGTAATAAAGCAATAGATGACAAATATTCTTTGTCGTAGAATAAAATAGAAAACAAGATAATTTATTTTTTTAAATAAAATTTTCTCCTGTTTTTATCTCATATTATTCTTTTCCTGTAATTTTTCTTTAATTTTCGTTTTTATTTTTCATATTTTAATATTTTTATTTTACTATTTATTATTTATTTTTATTTTTATTTTTTTTATTTTTATTATTTATTTTTTTTTATTATTTATTTTTGATTATTTTATTTATTTCATTTTTCCCAATATACTTTTTTTTATTCTTTTGTCTTATTGTCAATAAGTGTGTGCATTCTTTTTTTTTGTGTGCAATTGGGTCAATATACTCGTTTGCTATTTATAATTTTATAATCATGAAATTTTTTTTTATTTCATTATGCAATGATTGCAGAATAATCTTAAGTAGTTTATAAAATTGATTCCTTCCTCTTTTGACGAAACGATTACGTTTGTCAATTGTCTTCTCTTCTTTTAAGTCGATTTGTTTTTTGCGTGATGGTGTTGAAGAGGCAATTTCATTAGGAATTTTTCACTTTTAGATAATTTGAAAATTTACATTCAGGAGAGAAAGTCCTTATATTGGAAATTTGCATACGGAAAAAGAAGATTTGTCTAAAATAGCATATTGTGAAATTTATTGACAGAGACGACACAGTTCCCGAGATTATAGAGTTTCAGTTTATTTTCCTTATTACAAAAAATTAATTATAAACTATTTATAAATAATTATTTTTTATATTTTATTTATTACTATATGTTGATTATTTTACATTTTATTATTGTTTATTAATTTATATTTTATAATAAATAAATAAATAAATTATTATGTTTTAATATTTTTTATTTATTTTTTTATTATTATTTTATTATGTTTATTACTATGTTTATTTTTTACCTCATTATTATGTTTATTAATTTATTAAATAAAGTTACAAAAATGATAAATTTTAAAAGTCAAAGCAATCAACTTGAAAAAAAAATTGTTAAAATAGAAAAAAATCAATTTAATAGTTCTAAATTTCCATCCATTAAAAAATATGACGAAATTGACTTTTAGAAAAATTTAGTTAAGAGAAGTTTTACTGAAAAATTTTCTAATATGCGATAAGATCACAAATTATATATGTAATATTAAGAATGTTGTTTCTTGCGATAATATCTTCATTAGGAAAGAGATTTGAAAGAGAAAAATTTAAACACGAGTGTATAATAATAATTTATAATTCCAACACTTATAAATTTATTACAAACCATGATATTAAAATGTAATTTAAATTTCTAATTGCACCCGAATTTAAAATGAATTATAATTTCGAAAGTGATAAATTATTATATTGATTAAAAAGTTTTCATTCAAATGAGATCACAGAGAAGAATTTTTGTCATATATTGTGGACACGAAAAATTTTTTGATGATCAATTTTTCGTGCACGCCACTGTGACGTCATTTGGAAAACGTGACCTTAATTTAAAAATTGAGTCTTTTTTTACGCAACGCAAGGTAAATCCTTTTACGTTAAATGAAAAATTCATTTTTTATTTTGGTTTACGGTTTGCCAAAAACAAAAGAATTTAATTTGCAAATATTTCAATAAATTTATATTTATTTATTTATTAATTTCAATAAATTTATGTTTATTTATTTTCAAATATAAATTAATTTAATAAGTAATAATTATAATATTAAATAATTAATAATTAATAATCAATATAAAAAATAAAAAAAAACGAAAAATAAAAAAAAATTAAAAAATAATTTAAATAATTTAAAAATGAAATTAAAAGTCGAAAATAAAAATATGCAATAAGAGTAAATTGAAGAAATGATTCTAATGTCAAATCACAAGTAGAAAAGGATGTGAAAATTTTTCTTTTTCTGGATAATAAAATGCCTCATATTATACAGGGTAATATAATTAATATAATTCTATTTTAATACACAGTGAAATGCAAGAAACGAGAATATAGTCGATATTGTTAACTCTTTTTTTTTCCTCTCATATTCGATATAACTATATGTAATTGTAAAATAGAAATTTTAAGAGATCGGAAAAATAAAATGTCAATTTTTGCCTTTCTCGTAAATAAATGATTTCAAATGATTTTGTTAACGATTTACTTTTTCCAAGTTATGTGCTGCGAATAGAGCATTTCCCACTCATAATACCCCCCTGAGACTTTCTACGCAACTTCCGCGAGACATTTCAACAAAGATTTCTATTGATTACGAAAAAACAGCATTGCACCAAGTTCCAAAACTTATTAATAAATAAATTAATTAAAAAAAAATTTTCAAAAACAGTCTTTTTTTATATTTTTGATTAAAAGGAAAAAATAGTTTACATGGGCCAAAAAAATTTTTATTATTAAACAAGAAAATGTTTCGAAAAGAATTTATTTATTTATTAATAAAATAAATTTTATAAAACATTATTAATAAAATATATTATTAGTAAATTATAGTTTTTATTAATATATATTTAATTGTTTCTTTAGTTCAAAATCAAACGCAAATATTTTATTCACAGGGAAAAATACAAATATTTGTAAATAAATAAATTTTATTCTTAAGTAATTAATATAATTGTTATAATTAGTGAATATTATTAAAAAGCGAAATAAAAAATTAAGTAAAATATAGAAAACATAAGGGGGAAAAATCAATTAGTATTTGAATTGAATTAATTTGAATTTAATTGAAAAATAAAAAGAATAGAAAATAAAAATTTAATCGATTGTAAATTATTTCATTAAAACTAAATTAAAATAATTGTAAATAACGTAATTAGTACTAAAGGTAATTAATTAATAAACATTTTAAAAAAATATTAAAAGACAATTATGAATAGTGAAAAATAATACAAATAATAAAAAAATAGAAGTAAAAAATAATGCAAATAATAAAAAATAATACGAATAATAGAAAAAATTAAATTTTAATATAAAAGTAAACAATAATAAAAAATTAATTTCAGTTTGAAATTAAATTTTAAAAAAATTAATTGAGGAAAATTAAATTGGAAATAAAAAATTTAGTTAATAAAACCAAAAAAAGAAAATATTTACAAAAATTGCAGATTAGAAAAATAATTTTCAACAACTGGAAAATAGTTTTAATGTCCCATAAAAACGTAACAAGGCGAAGAAAATTTGAAGGTCAATAATTCCCAATAAATAAAAAAGTAAGTAAGTGAAGAAAATAATAAAAATAAAGTAAACAAAATAAATAAAGAACTAAATAAATATATAAATAAATTAAATTAAACAAATTAAAAAATTAGAAAAATAAAATAAATAAAAAGATTAAATAAAACAAAATAGTTTAAAGAAAACGAATAAAAATGATTAAAAACCAAATTCCAGAAAAATCTACTTGATTATAATGTTTGCACAATACCTAAAGAGGGAAAAAAAAATCAACAAACAACAAGTTCTCGATTATTTTGCATTGAGAAATGAAAAACAGAAAAAAAAATGAAGCACAAAACAGTACATACCATACGATAAATAGGAATGCATAGAGGGTCCTGTAAATCACATTAGACACATGGAGTCTATTTGATAGTTAAATGGATTATTTTCACTAAAGATTGTTAAACGATAGTGATTATTTCGCGATTCTTGACCGAACGATTTCATGATAGTGATTGATAGCTAGTGCCTTTGCCACCGACCAAACGACACTTAACCGTCTTTTGCTTGGGCGAGTCTGGTGGAACCAGGACCACGTGGACCGCTTCAAGCGCACAATTCCATAGTCGTCGTCGTCATCGTCATCGTCGTCATTCACTTTCACTCTCTTATATTTCCCTCGCTTCTGATATAGATGTACTATATAGTTATAAAGTCAGTGAATTCGATCCGACAAACCGACCGACCACGTGTATTTAAGTTACCGCACAATTTTCAAATAGCGAGCACGCGTTTCGATTCAATTATTGCCTATTTATTTAACTTTATTATAATTATCAATTATAAATTATCAATTTCAACCAAAAATTTATTTTTCAAAATTTAAATTAAATTAACTTATGTTTTGTCAACAAAAATGTAAATAAACAAAAATGTAAATAAATAAAAATGTAAATAAACAAAAATGTAAATAAATAAACAAATGGATAAATAAGCGAATGAATAAATAAATTAGTAAATAAACAAACGAGTAAATAAATAAGAAAAGAAATTAATCAATGAATCAGTAACTAAATTAGTAAATAAATGAACAAGCAAACAACTGAATAAAAGAAATTTATAAAAAATAATTCACTCACAAAAAATGAGTGAATTAATTAATGAATGAACAAGAGAATGAATAAATTAATGAGTGAATGAATTAAGAAATAAATAAATAAATGAATACATAAATTAAACAAATGAAAAAACTAATAAATAAATTAATATGTAAATAAATTAGTAAAAAATTAATAAATAAAGGAATAAATAAATGAATGAGTAAACAAAATAAGTAAATTTAACAACAAGCAAACAAACACATAAATAAACAAATATAAATAAAATTAATAAGTAAATGAATAAATCTAAGAATGAATAAATAAATTAATAAACAAATAAATTAATTAATAAACAAATAAATTAATTAATTAATAAACAAATAAATAAATTAATTAATAAACAAATAAATAAATAAATGAATGAACAAGCAAAATCATTAACAATTGACTACTGAATAAAATAAATGTAGAAAATAATAAATAAATTGAATAGTAAGAAAGAAAATTCAATTAAGAAAAAAAATAAACGAATAAATAAATTAATAAGTAAATAAATGAACAAACAAAAAAAGGACTAAAGGAAGGAGTTTTTTTTCGTTTTTATTAAAATAAATTCACTTTCTTAATAATGATAATTATAATAATAAGAATATTTAAAGTAATAATAAATAAAATTAGAAATAAATAAAGAAATCAATAAATAAATGAATGAATAGATGAATCAATAAATAAATGAATAAATAAATACATAAATAATTATTAGAAACATTAATAGTAAAGCAAATAATAAATAAAATTATTAGAAAACTAGAAATAAATTTTTAATATCAAATAATTCGCTCCTCTCGTTTTTATTCTTTAATTAGCCTGGAATTTATTATAAATAAATAAATAAATAAATAAGTAAATAAATAAACAAATAAAAATGAATAATTAAATAAATAAATATTAGAAATAATTTATTACTATTGTTACTATTTTTAATGTTTTTATTGTTACTATATTATTATAATTTACTATCAATATTAATATTTTACTTATTATTGCCATAATTTGACGCAAAATATTACCACTAGCGAGAAAGACAATGGCGCCCTCTGCCAATTAATTTCGACGCGGGCTTTTTTAAATCTTTAAATTTGCTTTACCGTTCCTATATTTCACTAATTTCATTTTGTTAATAACAATAATTATTATAATAAAAATTTTAGAAACATTAATAGTAAAATAAATAATTAATGAATATATAATAAACAAATAAATTAGCGAATGAATAAATTCACAAACCAGAAGATTAAAAATTGAATAAATAATTCAATTTATAAATAAATAAATTTATAAAGAAATTAGTACATAAAATAACTAAGTAAACAAATGAAGAAATAAATAAATGAACACACAAATAAATAAATAAATGCACATACGAATAAATAAATTAACACCAACATTAACTTTAAATTAATTAACAAATTAATTAAATACAGGTAATACTTTAAGATAATACAGGTAATACTGTAAGGTAATACTGTAATTAATAAAAGATGTTAAATAATTAAAATAAATAAAATAAACAAGCAAATTAATAAATGAATCTGCTAACAGTTAAAATTATCCAAATGAAAATACTAAACGTCAATTTCAAATTACATTGTAATTAATTACATTACATTATCAACGTCCTTCTTGGAAAAATTCGGATAAAGTTAGCAAAAAAAAAAATTATAAACCTTGTGTCCCTGCGTAAAAATAATATATAATTATTTTAATTGTCATTACGTGCAAGAAGAAATTCTAGTCTCGTTTTTCTCTTCTTTCTCGAAAGATAATGATATTACATTAAAGTCTGTGTCGAAATGGAGGGGTGGTTGTTTGGTGAGGTGAAATATTTCAAACTAAAAAACTGCAATTTCAACCGAAAAACATAGTGCATATGAATGCAAAGCTAATCACTACCATAAACTTGTCTTACGTGATAAGTTGTCAGAAGTTCCCGCTCAAGTGGAAAGTTCATTCCCGTTTGCCATTATATACTATATGTATATAAATTTTTTTCTTTTCGGTCTTGTGCAATTCTTTTTTTTTTTTTTTGGATTCACGCGGGACAATTATCATTTATATGCCGAAGCATATACATATATATGTGCGACTTACATAAACAATAAGCTAACAAATTGTCAATATAAAGTTCATTTGAGAGAAAATTTTCGACAAAGTAGAAAAAATAGGTTTAATAGGTCGACCTATTTTTGAGCAAAAAAAAAAAATTCTCAACAGAAGAAAAAGAAAAGAAAGAGAAAAATAATAATAAATTTTGGCAACAATTTTTCTAATTCGGAAAAATTTGGGACAAGAGAAAATTCTCATTCAACTCTAAAACATTTCCATTCATTAAAATATATTTGACATTCAATATAAGAGAGAGAGAGAAAAAATTTCAATAACTTCGACACATTTATTACTTCATTTAAATATTCTTTTCTCTTTTTCAAAACATCACAGACAAAAATGCAATAATCTATTTTTAATCACAACTATTATATAAAAAAAAATCAATTCCTAGAAATCTTCATCATTCCAGAAATTCCAGGCTAATTAAAGAATAAAAACGAGAGGAGCGAATTATTCAACATCAAAAATTTATTTCTAGTTTTCTAATAATTTTATTTATTATTTGCTTTCCTATTAATGTTTCTAATAATTATTTATGTATTTATTAAATTTATTTATTCATTTATTTATTCATTCATCTATTCATTTATTTATTTCTAAATTTATTTATTATTTATTAATTTATTTATTTATTTATTTTAAATATTCTTATTATAATTATCATTATTAAGAAAGTGAATTTATTTTAATAAAAACGAAGAAACAACTTTAAAGATTTGAAAAGCCCGCGTTAAAATTAATTGACAGAGGGCGCCACTGACTTTCTCGCTAGTGGTAATATTTTTGCGTCAAATTATAGTAATAATAAGAAAAATTATAGTATTGATAATAATAGATAATAATATAGTAATAATAAAAATATGAATAGGAACGATAATAGTAATTAATTATTTCTAATATTTATTTATTCATTAATTTATTTATTTTAATTATTTATTTACTTATTTACTTATTTACCTATTTACATATTTACTTATTTATTTATTAATTTATTTATCTACTTATTTATTTATTTCTTTACTTACTTATTAAATATGTAATATAAAACAAAACTTTTACAGCAACAAAGGAATAAAAAATTATAAACATATTCCAGACAAACGAAAGAATTCAAATTGTTTTCGAAATCCCACTTGGAATATATTGTTCGTCAGTCTCTTTAAAAGTTTTATAATACAATTCAAAAAGAAACATGTCTAGAATGTGACTTTTATAAATTGAATTGAAGAACAATATTCAACTCCTTAGAAGAAATTGCAAAATATCTTTTTTAATTTGACAGCAACAGGTTAACTTTCGAATAAAACCTTTTCCTCGTTCTCCTATAAATATCATAGAAGAGAATATTACATTAAGAAGAATTCATGCAACAGAGAATAACACATAGAAAAGTGATCTTCGACCTTCTTCTATTTTATTTCTCACATATTATTTGCTATTTGGAGGAATGGAAAAAAAATTAATTTCCAGAAAAAAAAATTATATCTGTGTTCGCGAAAATATTTCAAAAAAACTCACTAATTAACATTTGACCTTAAAACGTTTATTATATCATAATCCTTGTAACCAATACATTTTGATTTGTGAGCAAAACTTTCCCTCTTTTCTCAATATCACAAAATTTTGACAATTTACTAACTTTTAATTTTTTATCTTAAAAGTGTGTTTACTATCATTTTTTAAATAATTCTATTTTATTATTTTTGTTTTTCTATTTTTTTTTATTTTTCCTACATGTCATTTTTTTCGATTTGATAAAGAAACTTTTAGAGACAAAATTTTTAACTTACAATTAGCCTTTTTATTCTCTACAGATGTAAACAAATAAATTAATAATGTAATTAATTAATTAATAGGTAAGTAAAAAATTATATAAATAAGTTAATAAATAAATAAATTTGTAAATAAATAATTTAGTTTACAAATAAATTTGTAAATAAATAATTTAGTTTGGAAATAAATTAGTAAATAAATAAGAAAGTAAATAAATTATTGAATAATTATTAAATTATTTATCTACTAACTCACCACTTATTTGTTTATTTACAAAAAATTTTTAAAAATTTATTAAAACTTATTAAAATTTATTATTAAATAAATAAATAAACAATTTACTTAAAAGTGTACTCGTGAGATTTACAGCTTTTTTTCTAATAAAAAAATCACCTAAACTTTGAATATATAAGAAATATTCCATGAACTAATAATTAAAAATATATAAAAATTGTTATTACTACTTTTCTTTTATTTTACAACTTTTTTTTCGAAATAATTATTATAATTCCGATATTTTAAAATAGTTCCAATAAAAAAGTGCCTTCCTTTTTTAAAATAAAAAATTTTCGGCTATAATAATTGTAACACTTTTTAAATAATTATTATTACCTATACTTTTTAAGTAATAATTACAATACTTTCTATTCAGATATAATTACAGTAATACACACACTTTTTGAATAATTATTAAAACACTCAACTGTTTAAGGGAAAATTATTAAAACACGCT